CCTTTGAAGTTCTCTATTTCCCTTATTTGTGCAGCTTCCGTTTAGGGCGTCAATTTTCAGTGTGATTGAGTCGAGCGTACATTAAATACAGCCGCTGCCGAAAAGCAATGAAGCAGCTATTTTGGTGTCCAGAGAAGTGAATTTTACAACAAAGAATGTGGACGACTAAGACTTCAAAGCAACAAATTGTTCTGCTTTTCCGGTCCCCATCTTATGAAAATGGTATTCAGTGGCTTCTTTTAGAAAATATGTGAGGCATCTCCAACTTATTTGTATTTAAACACTGCACGCCAAACCATTCTCATGCACTCAATACGAAAGCACCTGAAGCGGGACTACCGGAGGCTTGAATTGTAACACCGAAATAGATGGAACACTAGTCTTCATGCATGCACCTGAGACATTTATGGTGAGGCACTAGGTGTGTTTGTGTGAGTTCCCCCACTTGACTGCGTTTGACTGAAGCACTTCTTTGATGCTTGGCCTCTTCTGTTGGTCATGAAATTATTACCACTTGTTCTACCACGGTTGGTAATACGAAATCAAGCTACGTTCGACTGAAATCAGCATACAGTCAATTAGCACTTGTTTTTAACCAATCCGTGCAAATGCAGTCTTTTATCCATGATTTGGGGTGAAAGGTCTGTTGTTTTTCCGCAGTCGTCGGAGTGTCTCTAAAGAACTTCATGCTGCAAATGCACTCCTTCCGCCAAGCCAAGGAAGTCAAGCGGTACAAAGAGACCTGCAGTAGTTGGCGTCAGGTTGAATAAATTGCGGAAGAAACATTTGGCCCAGCTTACGGTGCTCTCTTATTTGTCGAAGTTTGAACATTACGGCGACACCCTGCCATTCGACATTTGGAGATGTCAAGTAGGTCCAAATGCGACTGGAGCGCCAGAATCTGTACCTACACAGCCATGGAGAGCTTCTGTGCCGCACAAGAGTTGGATGTTTTACTTTTGGAAGGTTCGTTTAAGGAAAACTGTCGCATCTGACTACCTTCACATAAGAAAGGCCTTATCGCCTGGTCTCCGTAGTGGAGTTGTCTTTCTAAAGCCCGCGCTTTTGAAACGATTGGAGGCTTAAATCGATTGACATGGTCGGGTACAGCGAAAGGACGACAATTTCCTCTTTCCTTGAAAATTAAAACACGCTGATCTTCCAATTAGCTGTCACAAATGGGTAGACGGCAGAGGTTGGTTTACAAAATACCCCACAAGGTATATCGCTTTTCTTAGATGACAAACAGCTTTTAGTTCCTTTTCGGAAATAAGGCTTCTGGTGATAAAAGTGGTAGACAACCATAACAAAGTAACTGTCCCGTGTCTCGATCACAGCTGGACAGTCTCTTGATTTCAATTTTTGGGAAGATCAGAAACCAAAAGGTCGAAAGACTGATGTATTTCGGACTAAATTTCAACTCCGATTCAGACACCAGACTAAATTAGGTAATGTTATTCGAGCAATGGCAACGAGGACATTTGAGATTGACAAATAAATAATGTTCTTCATACTACAGGGATGATATATTCTACCAAATAATCCAATCATACATGTTTTTAAATGGATAGAAAATTAAGGTATGATGGAAATGCAAGCAGAGAGGTCAAAAAGATGTTTTGCATAAGACAATTTATTATTTAATTTAAAACCATTCAATTTAATTTTAAAAATATTAATGGTAGCTTCCTCACTACATTATTTAATGGCAAATTTAAGCCACAGAAATTGACTGTTTCCGGATAAATCACGCCTAATTTACTTCGCCTAATGGCGCAAGAATTGTTCCCACAGGAAAGGGCCTTAAGCTTTGATTAGTAATATTTGTCGTCCTCCCAATACAGGAAAGTTTCCACTAGGTTATTTGAGGGATTTTTTTTGGACTGATTGGTGTGCATGCACACCGTTTCTCAAGTTCAAACATGAAAATCCTGTACGCATACTCATTTACTGAAAACACTTCAGTAGCTCTACAGAATCTGCATTGCGTCTTTTTAAACCTACCGAGGGGAAAGCTCTTATTTACCGTGACTGTGGCCTATTCCTGTTAGTAATTGAAGGTAAAGGAAGAAGTACTTTATGCATACGGGTTCGGAGGTGTTAACTTTTATGGACTAATTTGTGAGAGAGTTTGTACCTTTATTGACGGTAGTTCCAATGTATTAAGACAACGGCATTATGTTTTAGGTCGACCGAGTTAGGGATGCGGTTGGTTGGGAGAGGGTTGCATTTGTGACCCCAAGTGAGCATATATTCCTGCCTCACGCATCTCAGGCTGGTGTCACGTATGGTCTTCTCCGGCAGGCATGTTAGTTGAAAGGACAATTGACACCTGATATTTTATCACAACATTCCTTAGTTCGTTACAAACAGTAGTGATTTATTATAACAAAATTCATTTTGTGAGGGTCTGACTCAAACTTGATTTAAGTCAAAGACAACAGGTGTGTCAAAAATGCACCCAATCTGACACGTAGGTTGTTCCGAACCATCGTGTACCCCTTTTCTACACCAGGATGAAGAAACTAAGTTTGAATCTTTGAGGTTCAGAAGGCGATGCAAATTCACTTGGCTAAATTCTGGCCCAAACTGTAGGCTAACTTTATAGGGGAAGGATTTAGGACATTCACGAAAGGCGAACTCCAGAGATAAGCGATTCACGAAAATATTACTTGTGAGCGCGTGAAGGAATGTGTCAATAGGTGATTAGAGTGAGAACGCTCTTTGCAAAGCGATTAAAATAAAATGTCGTTCAAAAGACTGCCTCAGGGAAATATTTAGTCTTTGAAGGCTTCTATAATTTAAAAGAGTCGAGTGGGCCACCCAACCACCAGACACCTCACATAATACGCCATCTGGACAAACAGATCAATCACTTAGGCCTGGAAAATATTATTTTAAACCATTTTTAGAATTGTTTTTAGACTTCATACTATGTTATGGCGTTTTTCATTATGGTATGATCAAAGACATCCGCTGGTTTTAGTGTTTTGTGTCTGCATTTTAAGTTGATCAGAAGTAGTAAGCAAAAGTTCTCGCAAAAACTATTTCAAGCACTACATCTTAAAGGAATAGAATTTTTAAATTATGAACTATTATGATGTTTTAGATGTTTGTTCACAAACTCACAAACTCGCTATCAGAATGACGCAGTTCGGTCGTCTGTTTAGCCTGATAATACTTAAGTATTTCCTATGACATGAAAGTGTACCAAGTTATACAGAATTAATAAGATCCTGGGTTGCAAGTAAGCCTGAGAGTAGGCTGAAAAATTGAGCCATGAGCCCAATTCATCACTTAGCTTTTGTTCATGCAGGTGGCAAGTTATCCGTGCGAGAGGGCGAATTTGTTACTACCTAGGCAGGTACGTACGCTGTCGCAAGTCTTTGCCGAACTAGGCAGACTCGGGGTATGAATGCTTGCGCTACGGATTAAACGGAGTTTCATCTCTAAAGGTCAGGGCCTAAAGTTGCTGAACAGACTTTCCAAGGAGAACCACTGGTTTAAAACAGCCATGGAATTCGGCTGATGGGTATGTAATTATTTCAACCTTAAACTAAACAACGAAACATTTCTCAGACTGTGTTTTGCGTCTGAAATGTACCTTCCATTATAAACGGTACGTTTCGAATGCTTTCAAGCACATTATTCCTTACAATAAATAGGTTTTGACAGCTCACATTATACTGGTGTAGCAGCAACCAAGATAGTTGTTGTTGTAAATTTACAATGGTAACATTCTGCAAATATTTGGAATCTCCTTTGTGTGACAACTCTCGCTGATTCCAACAGATAGGCTGATAATTATGCTGAAATGAAAGCAGAACGTCAGCGCAATCGGGCACCGAAATCGGTAAAAGCATGGGGATGAGTCTCTTATGGAAACCAAAGGTGGTGCGTAAGTGATTATGCCTGATCCAATAAGACCAGCTGATGTAAATCTAAGTCAACAGCTGATGTAAATCTAAGTTAACAGCAACGGCCTAATCATTTCTAATAAACTCGATAAGCAGAAATGAAAACTGCTTAGTACAGCGACACGGCAATTATTACAAACGAAAGGCTGGTGCCAAATTTTTCTTTTAAAAAGTGAAAGCAGTCTGGCCATGAACTGTGACGCTGTAGGTAATCCTAGATGAAACAAATAAATATCGGCCTTAATATTGGTCCTAATTCCACCCATGTGTTCCCTGAAAGTCATTTATAGTATGCTTCAGTGATTTTCTTATTGAAAACCCTATAACACTACAGCCACTGCAATAGTGCAAACGTCCTGGTCAAAAACATCAACGTTGACACAGAGGATATTATGGCAAGCAGTTTTCCAGAAAAAACGCGCCGTCTGCCTCTCAGCTTCATCCTTTTACTAGGTTGTTTACGTAACTACAAAAATTGTAAACATGAAAAATAGACTTGAAGTTCTTATTAATTTGGATGCATTTTGATACTTTAACATTAAATCCAGATTAATGCAGTAAATAGTTTTCTTCAAAAAAGCTTTGGTAGGATAGAGCAACAAGATGTAAGACCTCCAAGGTTGTTTACCAACTGAAGGAAGCTTTTAGTTAAGGACATGATGGTTTTTCAAAGTTTGTGAACATTATGCATGCTCGTCACCAGCACAGAACATCATTACGGCTCAGCGTCGTAAAAAAAGATATGCACAATTTCATGTTTTAATTAATACCAGTGGCGTTTGAAAAAAATTGAACTTTGAAATACACACCATTCGAACAGATATTAGCCTCGAATAAACTGACCTCTCCGTTACCTTTTGGTAAAGGATTTAACCCAATTGCTTCCAAATTCATTAAAAAAAATGCTTTGAGGAATCACCACACAGCACTGTTATTCAAATTATTTTTTCTGTTTTGCTCCTTTGATCTCTAGGGGCGGCAAAATTAACTGTCTGTGTCTGAATTCAATTAGAGCCAATCAGAAACTCCCACTAGCATATAAAATGACCGATATTCGAAATAGACCTGAACTCCCAAGCTAAAATGCAAGCGCCCAGCGTCCTGATTTGCGTCCTTCTGATTGTCGGCCAATCGAGGGCCTGGTGGAGCCAGCAGTGCTGCCAGTGCAAGGATCTGGACATCGTGAGCTTCACCGGAGGCACTGACGAGGATGACGTCGGCCCAACCAAGCGATCCGTTTTATCAGCAGAAAAGTCAGAACTACTCAACCTGCACAACAAGTACAGGCGTCTTGTCTCCGACGGGCAGATTCGGGAGCAGCCAAGCTCCTCGAAAATCCACGACCTTGTAAGTCACTTTAGTGTGGACTTGGCCACATCAGCACGAGTAGAGCATGTTCCACTACTCTGGAGGTGTCACCTATCATTTCTCGACAGATAAAGGCCTCTGATTTGTTTGCTTTAAGGAGTCAGGTCAAATTGACAGTTGAAGCCTCTCAAAATATTATTTAGCTAAGAGCATCGGATGACCAAAAGCCCAGGTGCATTGCCTTTTGCACGGAATAAACATCAACATGTACAAGCACTTCTCTTTAAAACCTTCACGAGGCTGAAAAATCTGTAAAGAGGAACTAAGACTAATCTCTCCTCTACATTAAATTAAATGTAGAGCGTTGATATTTGGACTAGTGAGATAAACGAGAGTGTATGGGGCTTTTAAAGTGGATTTCGAGATGTGAGAATAGGCAGAGCTTCAGACTACGTAGGCATAATTTTATACTGGAACTCTGATCACAGTCAGTAGTTAAAAATAATCCGAATTTTAAATAGATGTACTGAGAGTAAAGGTTGAAACGTCTTAATTATTAAGCAGAAGCGAAACTACTGTTTTATAGAATGCAACATAAAATCCAGTGACTCCTGTTAAGGCCCGGTCAACCAATTATAAAACCCACGAAACAGTTATTTTTACCCAAAATAGACACGAAATAAACACGGATTCTGCAACAATACACAATAAACAGTCAAAAGTTGTTTTATTTGCTCAGGTTAATATCAGACCATATCAGATAGATTAGCCTCTTCTAAACCGTGAAAATTTGTCAAGGTTACCTTGCCAAAACCCTGCCTTATAGCTCACAAATTCACATAAGTAGCACAAAAAGGAAAAAAAGTAACATGTTGCAAAATAACCCTTGATAAAAGACCCCAATTTTACAAAGGGTCTTCACTAAAATGAACTGCACTTTTGATTTGTGGATTAGTGGGCCCTCAGCCACGCGAAGAATGTCCACACTTATCCAGGCTTACCTGTGACAGCCGATTTTCGTTTCACGCTGTCTCCGCTTTCTAGTCTCAGCGCCAAACGCAGCTGGTCTAATATAACTATTGTCTAATTTAGAAATGGAGCACTGAACTGGAGGCTTCCGCTCAGAGGCACGCCGATACTTGCCGATTCGCTCACGACAGCGCTGATGCACGCAGAACACCTCAGTGGGACTGGGTAGGGCAAAACATAGCTTATTCTTCGAGCATCGCAAAGTAAGCAAGAGATCTTGCCTATTTATACTACGATACAGTCCATCTGTTTGGTACAAATTTGTAACCCAAAAGAAACATTGAAGGTTTTTAGTTAAAGTGCTTAAAAACATAAGTTGTGTTAGTGTACTCAAGTTGATAAGGAAGCCATATTGAGAGCTTCCATTCATACTTTTTTGTTCCCGTCTGCACGTGAAAGAAAATTAAATAGGTAAGGCCGCTGCCAGTTCACAGTGGTGTCGGAGCCGTGGAAGATTAGACCTACCAGTGTATTTTCAAGCATTACGATTTGCCGAACACTTTTCCATTGCAACTCAATGGTAACTCCTCCATCATGCAATTGACTAACTACCTCTTTCCTGCCCCAAGGAACGTGGAAATGTGGTTTGACGAATATAAAGAATACAACTACCAATCAAATTATTGCAGTGGTGTCTGCGGACATTACACCCAAGTGAGTGTGGTGCTATTAATAGTCTGCTCGATCAGTTAAATCTGCCCAGTAACAGGTCTAAAACTGTAGTGTTAAAATGCCATTAAACAAGGTGGCATTGAGGAAACAGCCAGGAGCATTTATTTCCAACGACATCTATCCTATAAAGCTTCAGGTATTCAACTACTAAGGTGCTTTCAGTACCGAGGTTCATGTTAGCTGTTAAAGTATGTATTACCCTCGCAATTCTAGGACTTGAATCTATACCCAGAGTAAGGATTTACGATTTACGATCTTTTTGATAATACCTGATAGGATGAAGTAATCACCAAAACCAAAATATGCACCTAAATACGGCACATTTTCAACTAATATTCATCTTTGTGCTTTTTTCGATTTTTTACAAATAAGCTCGTCTGGGCCAATACGACACACGTAGGCTGTGGTGTCAGCAAATGCAACTTTCGGGGATTCAATGCAGTCTACGTGGTATGCAATTATGGTCCAGGGTAAGTGGTCATATAATCGGTAGCATTATTCAGCTGTGTTAGCCTGCATGGTGTACAGAATAACGTCAACATTGGCACTTTACGAAATCGGCGTTTCATATTACCCAGAACTGTGTTAGCCCTTATGTCTAAACAACGCGACAGAGACACTGAAAGCCCTGTCGCATCCAATGTCAAGACAAAGTACTGGGGTTCCTACGTAGATTGAAAGATGAATTTGTTTATTTGATGCATGGCGTAACTGCTTAAGTGACAGTGGAAAGTTTCAGTAGAGAAGTTCGGCAAGGACTGGAGCAAGCAAAATATATGCGAAATGAGGTATCAGTAAGTCAGATAAAAATCGCCAACTCGGCCCATGTAACAGACTAAGCTATAGTACAATTCAGACAATCAATATGAAGTGACATGGGGGCTTAATGATATTGCTTCCAACGAGCGTGGTCACAAGCTCTGGAGGTAATCGGTGCTTTTTTTTTCATTCTAGGGGGAATTACAACGGCCGTCGGCCTTATTAAATTTCCGAGGTGAGTAAATTAGTGGAAGATTTTGAAATCATTAAAATCTCATTTCCGAATGGTACATGAAAGACAGGTAAAAATGAGGGTTTATTATACGCAGAGAAGCCCCTGAGGCTTGCTTGGAGCGTACAACTTGTGTCACAAGAACCTTAATAGTCGTCATGGCATCCTGCACAATCACTTGATGAGGATTTCATCCAAATGCCCATAAGAATCTCACTTTGACTGCTGTAGGCTTAGCCTACATTTATTTCCGGACCACAATTAAATGAAAGCCACGTCAAATTCAACAAAAAAATCCACCAGGTTTGTCTCAAGGTAGATAGAAATCATTCTTTGCCACTACAGGTTCTAATCCTCTAGCTAACAACCAAAAAAATGTTCGTTTACTTTAAGCAACCATTTGGCGGGTTACAGTCAATTTCTGGAATTACGACCATTGGGCTCTCGAATGTGACAAATAGTCTTTTTATGGTAGCTCGTAGACGAAATTAATAATGCTGATCTACGTTTGAATGATGGGTATTTCTATAAACACAAGGCAAATAGACAAAGACTATGACTAACCTCAAGAATACCGTTCTCGGTTGTCTGATTTAATCTGAGGACATACCTTGTTCAAGCCACCTGAACTTATCCTTGTGTATGCAATTTTTTTCTGTGCGTTTTAGAACCTGAACTATCGTCGCAGGAAACTGCCCATAATGAAGTCTCGTTTTCTCGCCTCTGTCGTGGTAGTAATGTGAACTAAATAAAAATATTTATCCACTACTTGTAGTGATCAAATAATGTTTGTGCACACATTTGATAAAAATGAGTCCAAATTAGCTAAAGTAGATCAGCATTGTTACTTAGGTAACCCAGCACCCTGAATCTTTGAGGTTAAAAATCAAATGTTAAAAGGTCTAGATTTTATTTGAGTCCTGGTGTGAGCTAAATACTTGGTTCAGTGCTGTCTAAGGTTCTTATTGAAGTCTTCTACGATGACACTTGTCCGAGCCCAGTAAAGAATCTGAAAAACTCTAATCGCTTTGAACTCAGCTGCATTATGCACACGAACCAGCTAAATGCATTTTCCACAATTTGCCACTTTGGAGATGGGCGCGTTTTCGGAATTCACAGATCCTAGTCCTTCCTGATATAGAGCATAGTGATTTCACTTATTTCTAAAGACCACAATCCACAATACTTGCGTAGGCTGGGTGGAACATGTGCGAGCACCAGTGTACGGGTGGGTGCACGGCCAATCAAGTGCTACGACTTGCATGAAAGTAGACAACTGTCAGACGCACCCACTGTCGCTTTCATGTTCGATGATTTTGTCTAGTAACGCCACCAAAGCATCTCACTTTGTGTTCAAAAATTAGAATGCACGTCAAAGCCTCCGTGAACACTGAGCCCCTAATTAGTGAGGCGGGGTTTATACGTAGAAAGGGCTTTAAAATAATCTGCCCCACGAGCTTCATCTGCACACTTAACTAAGGCCAATACCATCGAAGTTATTCAGAATCAGTTTCTACAATACACCGCTTTTGTCGCCCTGATTTGCTCTGTATAAGACCACCACGTTTGGCCAAGCCCTTAATTATCATCCTGTGAACTGTCTCCTCACCCTGCAAAATAAGTACTTTTCGACGACCGCGAGCTCTCATGCTCGATGCTTAAAACAAATCACTGCCCAGCCTTCCAATAATCGTGCGTATCTTTTTTCAAACTTCGGTTTTTTACCATCTTCTAGTCTCGCTTATTTCCAATCACCCAACGACTCCGATTAACAATGCTAAGGACAGAGTCCACAATGCATGCACATTTGTAGACTTGGCTAGCGCAGTTGCAGACATTTTTAAAACGTAGTCAAAGCAATACAGAATAGAGAACCAAACGGCACTTTATAATTGTTTATAAGTGCTTAAGTGCTTTACATCGACCCGACAACAGACCTGTCCCTGGAGGCCAAAAGGGGCACTATAGCTCCTCGTGTCCCAGTGGACGTCCGTAATTAAGGGCCTGGCTGCCCACAAATAAGGCGTGATGCTCCAACACCTCCTTCTCTTGTAACTTTCCATCCTAAAAAGGAAAAAAATCGACTTGCACACACATTCCAATAGCTAATATTAACTGTGTAATTGGTCGGCAGAAGCGGATTAGCGTAGACAACCAATCGTCGGTTGCTATCACTAAGGATGCTCACGAAACTAGCATGCATGTGACCATTCTCACCTTATCGTCGTCGGCATGGTAAATGAGGTGCTTAGCCTCGGCCTCGACGGGGTCGTAGTCGGTGGGCATGATCCACTCGCCGACCTCATGGCGGTCCATGCGTTTGTCGCCATTCTTGTCACGGTGCTTCAGGAACTGCTCCTTCTCCTTCTGCGCCCAGTCATCTAAGGGTGCCTTCGGGTCGAACGCACGCCCATACGACTTGGCCAGATCAGCTGAGAAGAGGACGCACAATCACAGGATTGTACACACACATAAGCGAAAACACAATCAGCCTGGCAGAGCACAATGTAAGCTGAGTTCCTTGAACCAATTGGTTTTGACGAGCAAAAGACGCTCTCAAGACGTTGCGCATTATTTGTTGCATTAAAAAAAATTAGCATGGTAAAACGATGGGTTAAAAGGCCATAAATTTTCAGTTGTTGGCAGACGGCACAAGTAAAAGCGGGGGCGCGAGGAACTGCGACCAAACATCAAGTTAGGTTAAGCTAACGACAACAGGTACGCTTAGTAAATGAAGGCGAATCTGTTAAAGGTGAGTGTGAACCAAATAACTAGCCATGATTGAATGGCAACGTTGTTATGCACCCAAACCTATCCAAACACTTTCAAGGCCCACGCCAGTCACTGAATTTCGATTAAAGCGATCAAAACGTCATGCATAATAATCCGCACATGCACAATATCTGCACCAGAAAGGTTATAACACTTAGAAACCGAGTGTATGAACACCTAACACAAGGGCAGAACTTTAGGATTGCAATCATCAAGCATGGTTGACGTCCTTTTAACAAATAGCATGCATGCAAGACGGCTCGAGATGCATCATTCAGCAGCCGAGAAGATGCCTCATGTAGACATACCAAGATACTCCTCTATGGAGATATAGCCGTCGTGGTCTTTGTCTACGCTGCTAAGGGTTTCCTGGGAGAATAAAAGTGCAAGAGGATATGCGCCGTCCACAAAGTGAAGGGGGCTCAGAGTAAGGGGAAGCTGCCTAGTCCAAATGTGCCCTACACGTTCGGCCGTTGTCTGATCTGGCACGTGAGCATTTCAACATGTCCCAGGGAATCGAAGTGACCGCGAGAACAGCGGCAATGCTGATGTCAACAAGATCAGGATTGCGGTGGATACAAATTGCGCATAAAAAACACCGGCCGAAAACAAAGCTTTGTCCAGCTCTCATCCACTTATTAAAAAGATTCGGACGCTATAGGTGACGGGAAAAAAAGGCACAATTCCGAAGACCCACAACTTTCAGCTTATCAGTATGCACCTTTTGTTTAATAGGGTTCAATGTCGTAAGGAAAAACTGAAACTCATGAGTGATTTCTTTTTTGCTTTCATGGAGGTTGGGATTAAGTAGGTTAAATCAAGAAAGAATGGGTGTACCTCAATGACGACATCTCGCATTCTCGGATAATCCTGTGGGTGTAGAAATGCAGAGTATTCATCTAAACTAAGCTTTTTGTCAAAGTCCATGTCAGCGACTCTCCAGCGACGCTCATCATCACGCTTCATTTTGACGTACTGCTGCTGACGCTCAGGGTCCGAAAATATTTCTGGATTTTGAAGAGAAGGAAGAAACAAACGCATTACTTTTACCCATGCGCGTGTTTACAAATTCTTACTTTATTCGTGTAGAGACAAGGCATTATAAGACAATTCAAACTGCGAAAGGAAGGAACCGAGAATTCACCAAAAATTCAAAAGCGGTTTCTAGTTATCCAATTTAGCAAAGTCCAGTGATACAGAATGCTATAATTGCCACCCAGACTGTGGCTGGGGAAAGATGAGTGCAAGTAGAAGGATGCAACTTCTGACTGCAGAGAACCTAGTGACCCCAAACAGTCGTTTATTTACAACTGGTTGAATATCACAAAAAAATCGCCATGAAGGATTTTCGGCCCAAGGTGTAACTTGAATGTTAACGTCAGTTAGGATAAAAACAGCAGTAAAAGACCACAAAAAAGCAGACAGAATCTAAGCATTATCGCATAATCAGCCGGGAAATAATCCAGAAAGCTGGAACACTGTGATTTTGTAATTAATAAAAGTCGAATTATGAATTCAGGTATCAATATGTGGTCAAGCCGCTCCCATATCATCTAGATTAGAGCCAAATTACGTAATTTTTATCTAGTGGAGTTCGATTTAATATCAAAGCCCCGCACATTTAACAATTACGTCAGTGCAGCCTCATAGGTACCAGTAAAAAATTGCATTTAGCCACACAACGGTAGCACCCAGCCACCTGAAATACCGTTGAACGCGTTTGTGACAGTTATAGTAAGTTGTAAAAATTGCAGACGCCCTTCAGCTCAATCAACAATGTGAAGATAAACCAATCTATAACGAGACACTTGAATAAACAAAAATGCCCAGCATTTCTTAGTGGCCTGTTGAAGTACCATTAAATTGTTTGACGACATGGAACTCAACTCTAGCATACACATGATTTACCAAGCAGATAAGGCACTTTGCAAACCCATTCAAATAAACGTAGCTCTTTAGAATGTTACAAAATGCAACATCCTCATTTCAACAAAATTCATCATTATTTTCATCCAGAAACGTTTAAGTAAATCGGCCTGACCACTTTCCTATGTTCGTGACCCAGTTTGGTCCAATACGCAAGTAGGGCATTCGGAACACGTTGGCAATCCCTGATTGGTGGGTTCAAAGAGCAACCAATCAGTCGGCTGTGTGCGTGGGTGCAGCCACAGATACGTGGCCGGCCACGTCAACGTGGTGCCACGTTGGCAAGACCAAGCAAATACACTTGGGGAGCCAGTCTCACATTATCAACTCCGATCCAATTTCGAAGCAACACTTGAGGCATCGTGTCGGAGTCACTGCTTTTTATAATTTTTGCAGGAAGATAATTGATATGTTAGTTGTTGTGCCATGCTAAAACCAAAATTAATTTAAATTTAACCTCTTTGGATGTAGAATTTTGCTAACGAGCGGCTGTCAAGTGAATCGAAAAATAGGAGCATGTAAACCGCCTTCACCGTGACTTTGCGTCGTGGATTAAAAGGCTACAAACGGCTTCCATAGCATTTTGTTAATAAGAAGTTCAGGGGCATAGCCTTAGAACATAGGCTGATTGCCTCATTCACTTGCGCATTGAAAAATAATGAAGACAAACACCAACACGTGGATGGTCTACCGTAGTACCATTACGTCAGTCGTACGACAATAAATTTCAGGTCATCACACTTGGGTCTTAAATGATATGGGACTGTAGGGTCGAAATTTGAAACTGTCGGCTAAAATCAAGAGTGGAGACAACTTGAGAGAAACACGCTGCCAAGAATTAAATCACTCTGATTTCGGTTTCCGTGCGCTGCCGTTTTTCGAAGCCGCTTACCAGTACTGGTATTCGAGCATTAATTAATTCGTCAAGCAAGCGGTTTCTGTGACTGACATCCAGTAAACGGTGGTATGCATGTAAATAAACCTGTTACACGAATATGTCAAGTCAAGGCTAAATTAATTCAAAAAGTAAAATCATTTTCCCCGTAAGCACAACTTCCACAAAACTTATCGATGGAACAGCCTTGCGAACCTTAGCTTTAGTAAATCGATAAATCTGGAGTCATTAATGCAAAGATTAAGGATAATCTAGTTTGGGCTACAAGAAGGAGACTCAGCAAAAAGGCAGTGAAAACAATTCCTGAGCTCTCTGGCACGTACATCGCCATTCTAGAAATTTATCCTACTATGAAAGATGCTTGTCTCTCCAGCTTGTAGATGGTAGACTTCTAGATTCTCCTAATGGCAGTCCCCACAACATAGGAACGCACGACTCCTACTATCCCTCTTTAGCATGGTGTTAAAAACCATTTTTCAACCCAACACTCGAAAAGACAAAGGAGATGCAGCTCCAGCCGACCGCATAAAATCCCAGTTCCTCAGTAGCAAACTTAAGCCTTATAAAAATGCAGGTAGCATCGTTCGATCGTCTTTGATTGGTCGCCAGGAGAGTGAATAGACTACAGCATTATTTTAATTCTTTCAGGCATCCGCAATCGCCTGCAGTCACCGCAATTATACAATAAATCACCATCCAAGTGACTGAAAAGCCGTTTTCATTTAGTTTCTACAAATATCATGCCTCATTAAGGCGGATCCTACCATAGTGGCATTGCATTTGTTCCGAAACAGGCCACTTTAACAAACAATTGTTCTCTGTCACTTTAATTTTCACCAGGAAACATTTAAAATGCACTAAAATAGGTTCACTACAATGCCGTTGAAATCCTGTATGCGTGCATCACTCACACAAAAATAACAATACTTATCATGCAGTGCACCTTCAATTCATTATAAAGTGATCCCAAGATAAAATAAATATATAGGCGACCTGAAGTTTGCAAACATTACTTGAAAACACATTTTAACTTCTTCCTAACATGAAACACTGTGAGACCCAAAAGTATACAGGGTGTTACGCGAACCCACTTGAGTTTAAAGCTCGATTGTTAAAAGTGTCCAAAGAACACTAAGATACATGTAAAACAAATAAATCTCAAAGGCGAACTTAAAGGCTTCCTCAAGTGCCAGTTGCTAAAAATAGAAACCGAATACGACATTATATAGTTTCCTGTCATGCTATTTAAAACACAATATAACTTAATCCACACAAGAAAAAAACTGCCACAGGATGCCATAGTGAGTTAGTTCTGACGTTATTCCCTTTATGACATCCGCAAATTTGCATGGCAAAGAGATTGACCACGGGGGAAACTATGAAACTACCCTACTTCAAAGACGTTTAAATATGACCAAAAAAACAAGCATCACAAATCAGTCAATAATGTCAGTCAAATATTCCATTGTTCAATTCGTCAAAAGCAGATACTTGCTCATAAACAGAAAAATGTCTGGCAGAAAGGAAAGCTTATGGCTTTTGTAAACGAAATAAAACATTTTATTTTACTGATGCTTCAAAAAAGAGAGAAGAAATTATTACATTGGAAATCTCTTGAACACTACAAAACCACTACAAATTAACATTTAATGCTTTCAATTGATTCCAAACGAATTTATTTCCAAGTGAAAATTTCAAGTTTCAATTTAGTTTAAAACCATGACCTAAAGATGACTTCAGTAATTTATCACACGTGGTAAAATCACGTTAGATAAAAAATGTTGCATATTTGTTGTTATGACGTAAATCAATGCGCACCAAGACACAAAATCAAGAACTAAATCTTTACAAACCTTCTTCGATCCCGTATGTTTTTTCCAAATAATCGTTCCACTCAAGGGGCTCATTCTTGTTCGCATTAAGATTTTTCCAATGACGATTGGCATCAGCAAAAATAGCTGTTCTGGAAACGAATGATATCCAGCGCTTTAATTCTGCTTCGGATACGGACTTGTCACCATCTTGATCTATTTTTGAAAAGATTTGGCTAACTTTGTCAAAAAAAACAAAATATGTACCGCAAACGTTCTTTGGATTCCTTATCGGTAAGCTTATCAAATTCAGCGGCCAATTCTTTTCCAAGGAACGCTTCGTGGTCATACTGAAGATTATGGAGCTCCGGATTGTTTTCATTGTGATCGTGTTCACTTAGGTCCTAAACTTAGGGAATAAAAAACTTCGGCAACTAACCCTCCTCTCAGGGTGTGGCTTAGCGTAGACAAAGAAAAAGGGGAGCAGAAACACAAAAACGAAACGCGACATTCTACCCATTTGAGGACGCGACAACGAAACGCAAATTTATACGGAAACGCTGAAGCAGGTTGACCATTGATTGGAGGAGGTTCCTTAGCTAAACAATTAATATTTTTTTTGGTTTGAATACTCCAAAACTAACAGACATTAAGCAATTTAAGACGCATCAGTACAATTTCAAATTGTAGACACTAAGTTACAACATGTGGGCTTTATAAACATGCAAAATCAGGTCGATAGGCAACGAAACAAAGTGTATATTTTAGGTACAATTTAGGGTGTAGATGCAGAATGTTAAGATGTAGGTGGCTTATGCCGTCATTATTTAGTATAAGACTAAGTTGTAGTACAAAAATGGCTGCGTTAGGTATAGTTATAATCATGATTCAAAATTACTCTGCGTTGGTTGTTTTGATGGAATCCTGAAATTTACAAATATTAATCAATCACTTGATTTATATAAAGTATTCAATGGTCTTATGTACACATAATATTCATTTTTGATCAAGGCGGTGGACATAAATAAAATGAGTGGAATTTTGACAACACACGTTTTATAAACTCTGACCACAGCCAAAGAGAGGAATAAAATTCACTTCAAAAAAGTGACTGCCGGTTTCAACGTGAAAACTTGCAAATGGAACTACTGCAAAGCTAAGTCAAGAAGTTTATGACTTTCATTTTTCACGAAAATTACTAAATCTTAGAATGAAATTGGCGATCGTCACTGCTGTTTATAATCTGAAACAAAGTAAAAAACCTTGGAAACCAGTTGATGAATTTGTGATAAAGTAATTTTTTAAGCAAAACTTCCCTTTAGAATAGTTTTGACACCTGTCAGTTTAACGCTCAGCAGATATGTTTCCACCAGGACGTATGCACTTAAGTTTATTAAACTAATATGCCTAAGCATTAATATTTCCGAATTACTTCTTGTTCGCCCCTTCTGCATCAGGTTTTATTTACATTTTTCCAATTTTTATACGTACAAATGATGTTAGTGATCATTTTTAACAAGGATAGTTGTTAAGGCGCACAGTTAACTTTGAGAGCTCACATGCGTGCAGGGTAAATGCTAGTTTAATAAATACCATCCATTTATTAATTACTTCTTTTTTAGACCTACGTGTTTGATATACGTCTTCTCCTTTATTAAATCTGTTAAATAGAAAAAGTTGTTAAGCGAGGTCCATGAATAATTTTAGATTTTTATTGTAAAGAATATTCTGCCATTAGATTAGCCAACGTGTCTATTAAGGTCCATAGTTTAACGCAGCAGATATAATCAAATTTTTAAATGAGACTTGAGGGTTTATTTACAGTGTCTTTATGTTTACACCAAATTTTAGGTAGGTTTTATGTCAATGGGAAAATCAAACATAAGCACATTCTTTAAAAAATGCTTTGGTGCAACATATGGTGATTATGCCGAAATTTGCCATAAGCCCACAGAAATATCTTTTAATTCTTCAAAAGCTTAATTTACCACCACATTTTTGAAAAAAAAAACTCAATAATTTTAAAATTATCCTTGGTCTTGTTCACCACCTCGACGCCTCATCTTAAAAACGAAGCTGTTTTGCCACATTTGTCAAAGTGAACTATTGTAGATGTAATTGATATCATCCTTATTAGGAATGACATTTCACCGGTCTTCACTAGAACCACGTGAAAACGAAGGTGTAACATTCCGTGACTAGGATTGGGATGTTCTTGGTTCCTCGAACGAGTCACTTTTTGGATGGTCTATAGATAGCTCAAGAAAGGACACAGCGACGACTAAGTAGGTGTCGCCGAGACGCTAAAAAGGGTCCAAAACAACGTTCGCCTTCCATTTTTTGGTTTTCATTCCATGCAATTTAGGGCGAGTGGAGCACTTTTATTCCTTCATCTGTCCAGGTTCGATTCACGCTCTCCAACAAGGACTGGCGTGGAAATTTTCATGCAAAATCTCCACCACTCCGTGTTCGATTGCAGACTTGTGACGTCTACACCCCGGAAAGCATTCCGAATTTCAGCAAATAGCGTTTTTTTAAGGAGTCAGAGTTTTGCTGTAATATGTAAAACCACTGATAACCATGTTCGCATTTCTTAAACACAAACATTTTTTTCTTAATTTTTAAAAATAACGTTGTGCAAATTATTTCCTTTTTACTACTCTCCAACCCGCGATAATTTATCTGGAACCACATGCCTTGATTAAAAGGACATGGTTCACACAACGTGCCAAAAGCATGATCGTCGATATTACAGTACATTAACATAAAATTTCTGGTGACTTGTTAAAAGTATGATTTGCCATTGGTTGGTCTAAAAGTTAAGTGAGACTACCCGTGCCTGTGTACTAAATCGAATTAGTATTGAACAATTGAACACTCAACCACAGAAAAATTTACAGTGACGTCACTTTTGTGTGAAAAAATTCCGAAGTCAACACAAGTGATCTTTAAGCCTAAAGGATTATCGCGGTAACTGCTCAGGATGATCATCATATTCCGGAAAACTGCTTTTCATGGCCACGTGTACTTGCTCGCTACGCAGGCAGTCCTAAAATTGCGCCAATTAAATTTGTCCACGTTGGGCAAAGCAGACACGTCGCAAGCACACGTGGCATTGAAGACGCAGCACACGGCTAAGGTCATGCCACGTGAACAGGGCGCGCACGTGTAGTGCCCCAACACTTCAATGCGTACGTAATCCAAACTGTCTAGAACCCAAGACACTGTTTCAATGCAATGGCGTTACATGGCGTTAAGGGGCTTCTGGGCAAACGATCAACTTCGTAGTCATGCGATCTCACAAGCCGCAACAACTACTTGTGTTGGGAATGTAGCTTTCGTGTAAATAGCACTTGACTTCAACCGTCGGGCATGCCACTATGCAACATGATCCAAAATTCACTGATACATATACATACACCTTCACATACGTAGACAATGAAAGGGCCAACATTTGATTGAGTCGATGGAAATCATAATTGGTAGTAAAAAATGTAAATCATAAATCATACTGTCGAAAAATTTGTTAAAATTTCAACCAGGATTTCTGCTTTTGTTGGGGATTCAGCATTCTCAAGGCAATAGTTTGTACAATTTCGACGTTTTTTTTCCATCATTTGTGTTTACGGACGCCATTTTTTGCATTCCAATATGCAGTCCCTTGCCTCTGAATTACACTTAAGTCCACAACGTCATATAAGAGTAAGCGCAGCTGACAGTGTGCTTGGCCCTTAATAAAATGCACCCAGCACGATATCTGGTCTTGCCTAGTTTGTGGATGGGGTGTTTCGTTTCTGGACTAGTGCGGTGGCAGTCGACGACTTGCCAGAACACGGTCCGATTATCTGCGTTAGGGGCTTTGCGTCTGTGCGCTGGTCAACAGTAAAATTTTAGAAGAATTAGCTTAGGTTATGCAAGCGAATGAAGCCATGCCGTTATGTATACAAAAGCATTGCAATAATTGTATGGTTTGCATGGCAACTAATTATGATGAGCCATTATTTTGCAGTTTGTGAAACAATTGGCGCATCAGCGTCGATTTGATCAACTTTACAAAGCCAGCTTTTTGACCGGAATGCGATTTAAATGCCACCAGTGTGCACTGATACTTCAAGACAATGTTCCCATTTCTAAATCGAAATTTGCAAGGTCAAATAATCCTTCACTGCACTCAAATTATCGAATAACTCTGAATATTTGAACTTGCATGTATAATGAAATTGGAATTCTTTACTCACTTTCCCATGGAAACTAAAGGCCTCATTTTGGCCCTTCACTTTTTTAAAAAAAAAGTCCAATTTATTTCTCGTTAGGTCATTAGAAATTCAGTTTCCGCTATTTCCTATCAATTGAGGCAATTCGCGGAGAGGAACGGAATTATATCCGGTTATCGACAATCTAAATTTACCAAAATTTGACCCTTTTCTTGGGAACAAACGCATTAAACATAAACAACGAACTGAACACGACTGCATAAATATGGCCATAGGGTAATTTAACCCTATTTTCCACTTGCACGAAGAGCTTTAAAAATTCATCTAATTCCTCTAATGACTTTTTCCTGGTTGGAGTTTGGACGTTTGTCTTTAGGAAGTTCAGATGGTGTGGTATTTATTGTTTTTGATTTTATCAATGACGTTCGGACCAAGTCGCAGGTGTCCCCTTTTGTAGGTCTACGCTAGAACAACGCCATTCGGATCTTTTAACCATAATTGAAGCAAGAAGAGACGAAAATTAATAATTCATTGCAAATCCCAGACTACTTTCATGGGCGGTGGTGGAACTGAAGTGCTATTCGTCGTAATAATAAGTTTTTGAGGTTGGTTCCATCAAAAAATGCTAACTGATGGGATAACAGACCTGAAGGTCCATGTCGACGTTTGACAGCAGGTGCACTTAGAGTTGGTTCATTTTGAAATCAAAGGATCGAAAGTGTGGAAGCCAGTCGGATTACTACTTACACAACAAATTGGCTCTATCACGACCAGTACATCTTAATACTACCGGTATTGCATTCACAGCCTCTAGTAAATGACTAGTTCATTGACCTATTCAGGCTTCGAGCATTAGTTTTATGGAATTCTCAATTCATTAGTTCTGATATCTAGCGTGCTATGAACGAAAGTGTGACAGGTGTTACTAGCTTGCAGTGAACCGTGTTAATTCACTTCCATCAACTCTGTCACCACACGCCTCGACGCACCAACCCCCCTTCCACAGAGTCCCCATCAGTCCCCCAGAACTGTCTGTTCATCCACCTCTGTGCATGTACCACCTCCACTACGCATCGCACTCATCTGGCCAATCACTCATCTGCAATTCTACTAGATCCCCCAAACAGTATCGGTCACAATCATTGGTCATACACTACTTTGATTACACCCACACAATAACATGACAAGTAGATTGAGCCATCTAAAATGGTTGCCTTCGTCATCTCCGGTCTTCTTAGACTTCCCGAGTATCTGTGGGGCGCATTTCGGCTTGCACAACACGGCGGCTCCCGTGTGGTTCAACCCACATGCCGGAGTCTTCAATAAACTAAATGCAAGTTCTTGACTGCCAAAACTGCTTAGTTATTTTGAGAAAGTGTAATACCAAAACTCTAAGACATCAGTTTAAATGGTCACCTTGGTGACCGCCTGGACTAGTCCACCAGGTCGTGGTTCGCTGGGGTAAGCACCAGATGAACGTTACCTGCGTTCACATCTTGCATAACCCGTACTAACTTGGGGATGCCAAACACATTGTGAAAACGGCAACCTCTTATCTGAACATGAATACCAAGAGGAAAACAGACGACTCCCGGCTCAAGCTACAGGTGCCCAAGCGTCTGAATGGTTGAGCCGCCTAAAGGGAACCTACAACTGCGGCATTAGCACAGACGGCACGCCGAGTTCTCGCTTGGAAAAATACTTGTAAAGAGATGTATAGGAAAAGGATAATTCTCTATAACCCGAAACACATGGTAGAATTGAGTTGCATTTCGAAGCAGCTAATATCTGCATTTCACTCTCTGGTCATCATGCTTAGATCAAATAAATCACCTTGCCACGAAGACAGGAGTTGGCTTCCATGATACATCTATGCATTTTAAATTAAGACTAATAAAAAGTAATTGAAGTATGAGTGTGGTGTGGGAGTCGAGGGTGATGGCGACTGATAAAAAGACAATAAGGAGAAATAAGGAGAAAGTGGTTAAAGACATTGTGCGCGTTGATTGCCACTTCGATGTCGTTTGGGGGCTGAGCGATGTCGGGTGTGTGCGTGTACTGATTCGTATTTACAATGCAAATGGGCATGAACGAGATGACAAAATGCAGTTTGTCAAGAACCGGTACAGGAGCGCAAATGCATGTGTGTGTATATACCATTGGGCTACAACTTGGGTTTAACTTGAGAGGACGTGGAAGGAGGAGGAGGCGCAGCATTCTTGTTGCGGCGGCCAGCGGTCAGAGGTGTCGGGGCAGTTGGGTTAGCAACACCGCCGGTGGTGGTAGTGGTGGTGGTGGTTGTGCCGCTGAGGGTGGTGGTGACAGGAGAAACGGATTTTTGCTGACTCTCGGCTGTTGATTCTGCAACAACGTGGCCTTTCTGAGCCGATGTAGTGGTAGGCTGTAACAGTTTATTAAAAACAGGCATTATCAACTGTCAAAATGAAGCCCTTTCCTACCAAAGAATTCGAAGCTACTATGAGCCTCACTTTCAACGTTCTTATCAGTATTACTCAATTTATATGCATGTAATGCACCACCGAAAGAATGATGCTGGTGGTTTGTTCGCCGTGCAAGCCGTCCCAATGCGACATGGGTCTTTAGGGTTAAGAGGAAAACCACCCCGCACTGCTAAAGGCCCTGAGGTCATGAGAGCTTTTTAAACTTAATCTAACTAAAAATCAAGTCTCACATTCGATACCTGAATTCCCCTACAGTAAATTAAAATTAGATACTCCCGCAAAATTTAAGCTTCTTGCATAATTTGATTTGCCTCCACGCTCTATATGGTGGCACAATCTAGGCCTAGGTCCAAGAAAGTTCTCGAAAGAGAACTAGAAGATCGTGATAGATGCCTAAACATGGAACAACGTTCTCCTTTGGACAACCGGTGCTGGAGGTTAATAGCCCAGGAAAACCATGCCCAACTCAAAAATCATACAAAAGTCTCAGGCGTGTAAGCGGTGTGAATCGCCTCATTTACATTCGCCAAAGAAAACAAAATGACGATGCTGGTGCTGGGTTTTGGACACCGTCCATCCCGACTTTCACTCTTATGTAACAAAAAAGTATGCGTCATCAGGCACCAGAAAAACAACAGAGGGGCTAAAAAGCTCGCAACTTATTGACGGTTTAAGTCGTTTGATAAGGAAACAGGATTTTGTGGCCATTCGAAGTGTCGAGATCCATTTTCATTTGTGTAATACACCTTCCACCTTTATTAAGTAATATTTAAGTATTCACGCCAAAAAATCCAAGCATTCATTTCTGTTCTCATACGAAGAAAGTTCAGTTCGGAGGTATGCTGAATTCAACTGTTCAAATTCCTGCAAGAGTCGAGCATCGAAATGTCCAATGACGCTCGTATTTCCTTTCAATATTCTGTGCTCTTCACATTTTTAAAGGTTCTCGCACACGCTGGATTTAGTTGCGGTAGGAAAATAATCGGGTGCTTTTGTGAGTATACGAGCGATCAAATGCTTCCTTGAAAAACAAAACCACTGTGTTAGCTAACAATGGAGATATGGGGCTTACAACAGAGGAGCTTGGTAAATGCGGTTGACTGTCACCAGGTTGATGTGAAGTAAGTACAGATGTGGGTTGAGACATGGGCTCTTCACCGGCATCCTCGGAGGCCGACTGGCGGACGCGTGCGGCGGCCGCGGCCTCCATGGCGAGCACGCGCGGTGCCGGCCCGAGCGCGGCCGCGGCCAGGGGGGCCGTGGCTCGGTAGCGCTGAATGAGGGACTCGAGTTCACGCGAGAGGATCAGACGCGCATTGGTGGCCGAGGAGGGTATTTGGAGAATGAGGGCGAGTTGGTTGGCGTCCACGTCCGTGTGCAGACCGAGGAGACCACCATGCACGCCAGAACCATTCAAGTGACTGGCGTACTCCCGTAAACCAATTTGGTCCAGCCAGGCTTGAACACGTTCGCAAGTCCACACCAAAAGGTCTAAAGTGATGTTGGAACTTATAACAGAATGTTAACGATACTAAATGCATTCATCAAAAATATATTAATTCCAGGGAAAATTTTCACTACCGTCAAGTCTTCTTGACTTCCATAAAAGTTCGCGTGCCTACCTCTTTCAAGAATTTTATCAAATGCCATTTGAGTCGGCTAATGTGCAGAATTCATTTTTGCTGTACCTTCACAAATTTGACCACATTTCAAACGTGAAGAACAGAAAGACTCGTTTCAAATATGAATAACTCTAATGAGAGGTCTCCGAACGGATAAATTTCGATGGATTAGTCATGCACCGACTGTTATGGCCGTTGGTATTACGCATGGAAAACCTGTACCTTTGTCTCTGTGTTGGGTTTCTATGTGACTACAATTTCGGTCACAGGGATACTTCAATAATAAAAGTATAATTTATAATTCAAAGGGTATTCGTATCTTTTTATTCGAAATTTAGTGCGAACCTTAAAAGCCAGCGGTGACTACACTATTCGTAACTCCTTACGTTGGCTTCGCAAGCTCGAAGCTATTCATTCCAGATTCGATCGCCATTCTTTCTGCACAATTGAGCCGCCAACGTCATAAGGGTAAAACCATCAAGCCTATATCAAGCTCCGTCTCTACTTTTCCCTTCTCGTTCAATTCATTTTGCAGATATTCCTTATCATATCGTTAGCGCAAACGACCTCAAAGCAGTAAAGATGTGTGCCGACAGCCAAAATCTACAGTTATCCTGAACTTGACAGAACATTAGCAGCTTTGATCCGTGTCGTCTTGGAGAAAATATTAGTGAGATTTAACTGATGGTAATTCGTTTCAGCAATCGTAACCCCTTGTTTAAGTCCGTCATCGACCGACAGCCAACGACACGTTTAATCGGCCGTATAAAGGTTAAGGAGGGAATCCTTTACGTGACATATTCGCTATGAGTCACACAACAATGGTACTTTATGGCACCTGCATTGAATTTTAATTGAACATTTAGGTCAGTTAGTGGAGCTGTGGGGTCGTGCTCCATTTCCTTGCTTTTCCAACTCAGATGATCTTCAGCAGTGTAAGCAATATGTAGAGACTACCCGACCAACAACATCACTTTTATTTGTAGTCTAAGTTGAAAGTCTATTAAAAGCCTACGTTTAATGCGACAGAACTATGTAACCTCCCCAGTGAAGCTCTACTTCGCATTTGGTCAAACGCAAAGATATCCAAGTTTGTTATTATGTTTGCGACCAACTTGCTGCAACTGATCTTCTCAAAACGCATCCACCGACGTGTCCACATTCCAGATTGCATTGTATGTCTAAGATGTCTCTATTTTTGCATATTAGGCCATCCCGTCTACCGTCTTCTCCGTCACCAACACAGACCCGAATCCAATATTTCGACTACCTGTCTCAAACAACTTTACTGTAACTGTCAAGACACCGATGCAATCAAACGACTCAAATCGGATCAAACTCTTGAAAGACGAGGTTGGGGGAGCGTCAAGCTTATAAGAGTAATTGTGGGGGCATTGGTACACTTTTGAAACACAACGTCAACAGCGGGTATTATGATTTACGAGGAAAACCAAAGTGTCAAAAAAGTTTTGGCAAATTCTTGAATCGAGTTTTTTCAAGTAGGTTGTAACAAGTGCAATCGGATCGTCCTAGTCAAGCTGGTGAATTTCGCGTCAGTTATCCTAAGTGACCCAGAGAAGGACCTGATAACACTGTTGTGGTCAACTGGCCATGTAAATGAGTAAGCAAATCCAGAGAATACTGCAAGGTGGCTAACAGTACCACGTGCTCTCGATCAAGCAAAGTGCTCACCTATGTTGTCACGATGAACGCATTCTCTCTGTCGGCGTTCGAGTTCGGTTCTGTCATAGTTGAGTCGTTTGAGACAGACGATGCCGTAGAGGAGGCTGGTGCGATGCATGGCGTCTACCATTTTGAGGTGAGTGCGCAGGTCGCGCTTGGTTAGGTGGTCGAGCATGCGGGCATCCACGAGGCACTCCATGAAAGCTGGTCGGTACTGAGCCAGACCAAGGCCTGGCAACCACACGTTCCCAATCCACTCATGGTCCATGTCGCCAAAGGCTAGGCGGCTGTAAAATGCCACGACGTGTTAAGAGTCAATATTCAACAAGAAGGATAGTGACCTACCCTTTTAGATAAATCTAGAGAGCGATCACAATAAATAATATAAATGTGTGACTGGGAGTTGGGGTTTAAACAAAATGATTCACCCGCAAACCCAATTGTAAGGAAAAATTAATTGTGTCAATTCAGGCATTATCGATGAAACTAGGATGCACCATAGTGTAAATATGGAAATTTCGCCCGATATTTCAAGCCTACTTAACTGAGTAAACGTGTCAGCCTTAATTTGAAAGTTTTTATGACCGATCCTAAAGATAGTGCAAGCAGACAAAGATATGCGCAAAAGGCAAAGATTATTCTTCTTTGATGGCATAAAGCTGTGTAGAAATAACACCTGCTGCCAGTAAATGCATGACGTTAACTTCAAAATTGAAAATGGTCCTATTATGTTCCGATAATTTTTTCATCTGATCCAATCGGCAAATGAGAAAATCAAAATGGGAGAAAAGTTTTTTTCTGTGGGTATTTTGTCAGTGTTTCAATTAGCAAGATTACTAAAGCGCCTATTTATTCGTTAAATAAGAAGAAGCATAATGATCACTCGAAATCTATGAAAATAGCGGAGAATTTGAAGAAGACCATTTATACTGGCCTGAGTGAAAATACCTGGTATTGGGCCTAGGTGTTGGGGTGGGGGCGGTTAGAGCAACCATCTCCTGAATTGCAAGTCGCAGTTTAAGTCGATGGAGGGGGTTACTGATACCGATTTCCCGTTGGATCTCTTGTTCTGAGAGTGCAGCCATCACAGCTCCCGACTTCACGTTTGCCCGACACGCTGCAACGTACCAGGCCGGCATTCCAACCCATAGCTAAAATGCAGATGCGTAAATAAATTCGCTACTTAAGCAAAACCAGTATACGATCAAATTAGTTTTCTGCAAGTTGATACCAAACGAGTTGGCAGATGTCGACGAAATCGGCTCGAAACAAGTTAACTCAGGGCTGAAACTAGGCCAAGGCACTGAAAAATAATCTTCCCTAAAATTCACACCAGGGCCGGTCTTAGACCCGCTATTTTACACTTTCATCGACCAAATACAAAGGAGGATGCAACACAAAAAAACTGGGTACAAAGTAATGACTTAGTGGGCAGCTGGGGAACACCTGATTATCATAACGACATGCGGGATAGACTAGTTTCTAGAATTATCTGACAAGCACTGCGCCTGACCTTAAGACAGGGCTCTAAAATAATTCCGACTTGCTATAATAGTAATTTTTTGCAAAAACATGATACTGTGAATGGTGTTTAATTAAGAGTGGTATGCCGCTTATTCTCCTCGGTGGAGCAAACTGCTGCTTTGTTCTAGTGCTTGCTAGAGGGGCTCGATCACGGTTGGTGGTGGGCCATTGCTTGAAAAGGCATCTTGCTTCACATAGACTAGCAGCTACTACATTTTACTTTTTTTCATTGACCTCGTTTTAATAAGCCCTATCCTGATTTTCGTCAAAGTCAAAATTTACTTTCAGTTGATGCTCCCCTATTGCAGACAAAGAGGGACCGATCAGCGGTCGCCGAGGCCACACCAATCAACCTTGGTCCACAAACGTCATTGCAAGCATCAAGATCAAAAAAATCAGCAACTCTGAGAGCTGAGGTGGAGGGAAAGTGACCTCAAATACTACCACACGACTTACTACCGAGGAACGTAGAAGAATAGCCCGTTAAATGGGGAGGCGCTTTATCATGGCTAACGCTTGCAAGCCATCCACGCCTGCTAATTTAATCTACGAAAAGATGACTAACTATAAAACCAAAGTGGCTAACTTCGGAAAGCTAATGAGGCTAACGAACACGCAAGCAGAAAATGGGTTGGGTGGTAATCGAATTGGCATTCACTAACCTCAAGCCACGCAACAATGGTGGGACCATTCCATTGAGCGAAAGGAAGGCGGCCCTCCATAGCTTCCTCAAGAAGCTCTTCTTTTTTCTTTCTTCGGCGCTCTTCCAGTGGTTGAGCTGCTGGAAGACCTGTTCCAGCAGCGAAGTTGTTCAGTTGCCTGGCAAACTGATTTCCAGTGGAATAGGGGGATGGCAAAGCCAGACCATCTGAGTCCTCGGTGTCTACAACAGGCAAGATAAACTAACTGGAGGGTAGAAAAGGGCAAGTTAATTGTCCACCCAACTGAATCTGAAACGGTCGCCATGTACTAAGTCATTTGCATGCCCATAGACGACCCCCTCACTTACACTACAAGCTTATGTGTACTCAAGACGAGTGAAGTACAGACCAATTAGAAACAAATAAACGCACGAAAGGCGGAGACTGCAGCGACGTAGAATAAGCACAACCTGTGACCCCATCCAATGTACACTGATAAACTCAAGTACTTATTTGTTGGTAAACATGATTACAGGAATTGGTTTGATCATACAATTTTGTGTAATTGGCAGCGAAGCATTGTAATTAAATATTCTCTCTACAACCTAAGGAGTTGTCATCTTTCATTCCGGAAGGTAGACAAGCTGAATACCTGTGGACGGTAGACACGCTACCAATGGCACTCAACTAATGCGCTTATGTGGTAAAGGTTCGAGCCGAGACATAGGTGTATGCGTGGCTACTATCCGGTTTCAAAATACACGAGAATTTGACTCATAATCCCGGTTTCGGTTTCTGGGCTAGGGTATATGCAAAGCCCATTGCTTTTTTAGTCGTGTTAGATTCTCATCCTTGTTCGACTAGATGGTGATGAAAATGTGCGAAAAATAACCACTACAACATGGATAATACAACGAGTTCCAGCACACAGAAGTTCCACCCTATTTTACCTTACGTGGACATATTGCTGAATGTACAAGTGGGGCACAAAAATCGCGTGGCAGAGGAGGTGGGAGACCTCTCGTGTACATTAAAAGTGTGCGAGAGAGTTTTAACCACGACGAACTCGACAGTAATGGCCCGTCCTAACTAACTTTAACATTCCCAGATGGTCTACCTCAATAGTAGTTGTGTTTATGTGACTGCCATTGAATACATATTAATATTTAAAAAAAATATTCCAGGCCACCAACATGCCTAAGATCGGTGATCTTTGTTTCAACCGTATTACACAAATCCATAAGTGATTAAAGACAATTCAGATACAACAGGGAGCCTGGAGCCTGGAGCCCAGGGAGTCATGGGTGCTTGTAAGAGTCCATAGTCTCATTTCAATTAGCTGCAAGCGTTGTTCAAACAAATCATGTGGCTGTGGTTCTCACATTTAGGTCCAGGACTTGAATAACTAGCCTAGCCACCATCTACAAGGTGAGAGGTTGCTACATTGCTAAACATTTTTCTGAAGTACAAATGATGAACTACTTTTCCGATTGAGTATTACTAGTCCAAAAATAAGCAGGTGTGACAGCGTTATCGTTGCGTTCTTTCACATCGAAAATGGCATACGTTGACAGGCTAAACAATACCGAATTTAACTAATTCAACCTCTCATCTAATTTCCCAGGCTATGCCTCGCAATAAATAAATCACGACTGCCCCGGTGTCCATGTAACCATTTCCTCACCTGTACCCATGATTCAGTTCAGCAAAAAAACGAATTTACCATGGATGCATTCGGTGCAGGTATGTGAAAAGTGGACTTGACAAAATTTAACAAAAATACATCCTAGTGATTGAATTAAAGTCGTGAGAGCATGACTCACAAGGTAGAAACGACGGCGCACAAACAAGGGGCTCACGAGTGTACAACCGAGGTGAACTTCCTGAGAAAGGGGGCCACCGTTTAGACATTAAGACTAAGGAAAAATTTGAGTTGGGATTTTGGTTCAGAATTGAAAGAGAAATTAATCCCATGTTTGCTGATGGTTAAATCGAATGTGCGAACTTAAATGACAAGGCTCGAGAACCCACAAAGCCCGTCGTTTAATCTAACATTACTCGTTTTCGAAGGCAATAACTGAAATTAATGGACAGCGCGAATTTGCTTACTTTTCGATTGCCGACAACTCAGCTGAACCGTGTACAATTTGATAAACATGCACGTTTCCCTTTTACTTGAGACCAGTGGAAGGGGTCGAAACGTATTACTGAAAGTTCCAAGAAGTTATAAGAAACAGTACACATTCATGGCCATGAAAAAGAATTTCTTCCTGAATATTGTTGCACGCGCTTTACATGTCTTTTACACGCAACAGGTCGAACCGCAGCATAATTCTGTATTTTAATGTCTGCAGGCACGTGAGGACTCGACAACGAGTTTTCGGTCGACAGGGTTGTGTGCCTACTCGTGTTTACAAAGCGCTTGCTCTACTCGGAGCGAGTGCGTGCTTGGTGGGGGAGGGGAGGGGTTCAAGTGTCGGTGGAGCGGCCTCTCGAGCCGGTAGCTAGTGGCTCGCTGAAGATACCCACAGACCACCAAAGCATAGACTTGGGGCTAGTATTTCGCCACATTTTATATCCTCATCAGAGATGAGGTTTGCAAGACACAAACAGACTTCCAAACACATTTTGATAAGCATCTCCTTTAGTTAGACACATTATACGGCCCCACGTGCCTGTTTTCATGTTAAAATCTTTTAATACAAATCCGACGCACATCTCATCGTGATGTTCACAGCTTAGAACCTTTGATTTCGTTGTGCGCGAATTCCACTTTTATTATGCACAACAGGCCGCGTTGTGCTTTTCTACATCTGCTGCCAAAGAAAGGCAAATAGAGATTAAGGCGTGATAAAGACCCACATCAGTTAAATGCGAGGAGAAAATAAAACATACTTAATACTGGCTTGCCTCATCAAAAAATTGATTTTTTGAGTAAATAACTACACGGATTCAGGTCGCTGGAAAACTCGATACACTTCTTGCATGGCGTGGTCGTGTAGGTTAACTACCAAACACAAATCCTGCAACTTTATTTGATGCGTACCATAAGGGGTTTGCTTTTCTCCCAGCTGTTGCTGTCTTTGCTGAGCCAGTTGATATAAGTGCTGCTGTTGCATCTCCTTATGTCGAAGGAATTGCAAATGCTGTTGCTGTTGCAGTAGTTGTTTCTGCTGCAGTTGAACAGCAGCCTGTGGATTGTAGGCGATACCCAGGGAAGGTGACGTCGAGTTTAGCCTCTGCTGATGACTGATTACGGGACTCAGCGGAAGGCCGATCTGAGGCTGGTCCTTGCCACCCCGCTTAAAGATACGACCCAAAGTGCCGGTGATTGACTTTTTCTTGCTGGGAGTAGGAGATGGGGCTAAGTGGGATGCAGCAGGTCCGACACGGTGCAGCATTAGGGGCTTGGAGTGGGCGGCGTTGGAGTAGGGGTGTTGGTGATGGTGGTGCGTGGCGATCAGGGGGACATCACCGTCGTGAGGGAAGTGGGTGTTGTAGGGGGACGAGGCGGGAACAAGGCCGCCACCACCGCTACATGCAAGTTGCTGTTGCTGTTGTTGCTGCTGTTGCTGAGAGTTGGCTGCCAAGTGGTCGGACTTTGAAGATGAGCTTGAACCGGGACTCTCGAGGAGGGCACCAGAGGCTGCCACGGGAACGCCTCCAACTTGAGTCCTAAGAAGGCGGCCGGAAAAGGTTTCATCGTGGTAGGCGTAAAGAAATGTGAACCGTAAATCATGCCAAATTTGTTCGCATGGAAGTCTCAAAGATGGTGTGCAAAAGCCATGCCAACATAAAAAAGTTGAAGCAGAGTGGAAAACGTGACAGAAAGAACCCATGCACACAACCGAATTTGTTCTGGAACTGCCCCTCCCAGTGGTTGGTGAACTCTGAACTCATCCCAGGGAAACACGATCCATAAGAGAGTTATTGTCATAAGAATGGGGTAATCTTTGCCTGTGGGTTTATTTGTACTCATAAAAATCCTCAGGTGGCCGACTGTTAATGACTGAAAATTTGTTCATCGTAAAAGCAAAGCCACGACGTAGTCAATGTGGAAATCAACTTTATTGTTAACTTTACTCCTCTGCCTACTTTGACTAACATTTGTAGAGTTTATGACAAAAGTGATTTATGGAGGTTACGATGATGGTTATCAAAATCTTTCATGGAATAGTGAAATATAGTACGCCCAAAGAACCGTCCTCTGGAAAACAAATTTACCTCCGAAATGTTGAGCATCAGCGTTACTACATTAAACACAAAGACTCTTCCAACCAGAAACCTTCTGACGATTTGATTTGCAAAACCGCCTAAAAAGAGCTACTATCCATGCAAAGGCATCGCCCATTCAGCGTGCATCTTTCGAACCGAAATCACTTCTATATGGTACAAACAGTGCGTGCTTAGTTTCCGTTCAATGCGGTACCTAGCGACAATGGCGCTAGCAGAAACGGCAATGCGGTAGGAGGGAACAGAATGGCGCCTAGTATTATTAACACTTGTGGGCTCGGGGGAGGGGGCGCTTGACGACTGCGAGACGGTCGCGGGGACGCGGGCCTGCGGCCTGGGTGGCACGGGACTGGCCGAGCTGGGGCGTCCGCTGTCGTTCAGCTTCAGTGCCTCCGCGTCCATCAGGTGCCGCAGGCTGCGATTTCGAGAGCCATTAGCTTGTGGCGAGAGGTTACTAGTTGTAACGGTCGGATTAGGATAAAAGCATTAGGCACGGGGCTGAATAAGTGAGCTCAATTTACTAAACGCTGAAAGCAACCGAAACATGTGCCAAGGTGGATTTACACGGGCGGATCGAGATATCTTGAAAATTTGTAATTGAAACCAACCTTTACAACGCTGAAGCAAACGTTTTGGACCAAACAGCTGAATTAGGCGAAGTTGTCAGCTTAAGTACACTTCAAAATTCGGTTAACCTGATAATGCCCGATAAGGATTTTGAAATTCTTACTTATATATTTACCTACGTTATTCAGAGGTTTTACTGGAAGCCTAATTAGATTTATGATAGGAAGGTTTTACTTCAAACGAAAACATATGGGAATTTCGACCATTAAGATTTTAGCCGATCAATTATTCGGCTATTTTGAGTAAATCAAAATCGCATGTGGAAGTAAATCATCGGCTAATTTCGCCACTTTTGGTTCCGATGTTTTGCAGGAATGCCGCTCAACGAATGCGAGGGCATCCTACCAGGACCAAAGTGGTATCGGGCCTAGATGATGTGATAGACACTAGAATAAATAAAGGATAGGATAAAATAGGCTAAAAATGTAAGTACTATAATAAAAGCAGTCTCAGAATCCCTCCTCTCTCAACTTACAGTATCTGGGCGGCGTTCGAGGTGTTGGTGAGGTTCGATCGCCTCAGCGGGGAGGGCGCACTAGCACCATTCATTTGCTGGTTTGCGTAGGCCTGTCCCAAACTGCTGGAGGCCCTCTGCGCGGGATAGGACAAGTCCTCGGGGACCTAGGATAGGCACACAGACACACATTCACATACACCCGCACACACACAAGCTACTGAGGGGACTGATGGAAAGTGCAATAAATACAGCAGTCGGGCATTCACGGGCGAGCCTCACTTTCAAACGAAATGATCACGTGTGAGTTTGGACGCAAGAGCAGCACAGTTGATGATCACGAGAAACACCTGCGGCCATAATTTATCTCATCAGACCTTCCTACGAACCACGTATTGCGCAAATTAGCCTAAATTACGGCTACGGCGTAGAGTGAAGGCAGAAAGAGCTTTAAAAAATAATATAGGCAGCACATCGATGAGCTGCGTGAATACGGAGTGAAAATGTTTCAATAAATTTACAACTTCAATTCGGAGCTTATCCATTCCAGTCAAGTTAAAAAGCAGTCGTGTGCAAATGGCACCTGATGGGGAAGTGAACACCAGGTTTATGAACATTAAAATATCAGAAAAGATCAAATTTGTTGGTTTAGCAGCAGCTGAAGCAACTGAGATGCGAAGTTCAATCCGCGTTTGTGCCACCGGATGTTCGTAATTATCACTAACGGAAGACCATTTTGGACAGCTTAATTGCAGCCTAGGGTAGAGGCTTTTCAATTTAAACCTTGCACAAGCGGGTTTCTTGCTAGCGACGCTTAGAAACCCGCACGTAGCGCAGTAAGCCTTGTGCGGAACCGTGATCTTTGCGCGAAATTTGCCTTGTGCAATGGCCTTGACAGTGAAAGTGGCAGGAGTCAGAAAATGAGAACATGGCAGTCCTACTGTTCTTAGCAAAAGAGGCAACCTCTTTCATGGCGGAATTAGATATATAGATGAAGTAAGTAAAAGCAGTAATCAGTCGGAACAATCATGATAAAAAAACAACAGAAAATTGCGTGCAGTGTATATCCGATTGGCCAAAACGCTACTTGATTGTAAATAATCAAATTTTTATGTTCCATCACAACGGATGGGATTATTCCTTGACAAATATGTTGTTCCTAGTTGCATAATTGGGTACTGACCATTAACTTCGCCCTCCATGTGGATGAATTAAAAAGGTTTAAGGGAAATTGAACATCTGGCAAAGGTGGCAAACTATAATCACTGATTCGAATTACTCGAAATAAAATCATCGGAAATTCTTGAAAACACAGAGCCTAAAGAGATGTTTAATTTAACAATTCGCCCAATACTTGCTGAATACTGGAATGTTGTATTAGGAGGGTAATTGACATTCCAACAAACTTCAGGCATGAGGCTTGCAGTTCGGCATATCTGACCACCAGGAGCCGAATGTTAAGTTGGTTGGGCAGCTTGGGACCAGATGCTATAACAGTAATTAAGGCTTCACACACAAAACTGTGTGGCCAAGTAAAACGCCCGGCTAGCGTGCAGTTAAAAGTGCGTGCGTTTCGTGCAACTTCTCCGGCCCAGCATGCCGCCGCCGAGCGAGGGCTACGGAGAAGCCGGTGTTGCGCGGGTTAAATGCAATGCAACGCATTAGCGGCAGCGGACGAGTGGCTCTTGGTCTACCACTTTGTGTACCTTATCTCTATTCTCCGGCTTCCACATTTGCAACTGGCTGATGCTAATATTGTCCGGTCCGAATTCATAGGGATTCTCTTGAGAGTTTATATTGAAATCAGAAGGATTCCGATTTTCACCTTTTTCGGGACTCGAACGTTGACGTTGAAAACGACGATCAGCAGAAGGGAGGGCATCATAGTCGTGTACTGAACGCGGCTGAAAGTGATTTTCGCGGATTGATGAAAATAGTGCATTTTGTGGCAATTAGTAGTGTCTTGTCAAATGAACAGCACTACGCGAGATTAAAAGCAGTAAATAGCCAAAAATGCTTGGTCAGACGTTAAAACGCTTGTGTATGTAGCTTTAAGAGTCATTTCACTCGGGGCTTATAATTATATGCTTAAAATGTCCAAGATTAGGAGTTGCGTTGAAGGAGAGAAAAAATAAATAGGTGGTCATTAGTAGCTACAGACGGCCAAAAAAGTGACAGAGCAGACTGGATGACCTTAGGCTCTTGCCCTTCCGAACAAGACTTTCAAAATATGATACGCTCCCATTTACACAGCAAGCGCATAAGTGATTGTCGAAACCGATAATTCAGAACACACAATCCAATCAGTTGGATTTTAGTTGAGCAGTAACAGGTTCCGCGAGAGGCGGATAGAAATGTGTCGTTAGTTAAGCAGTCTGGATACTGATGGGATGATTTTATTGACGTTTCCTTTATCGTCTTTACAAACGGCTGTTAACGTGATCAGTTTGAAAGAGGTGCGAAATAGACCTGTTTGCGGAGTGGTTTTGGATTACGGAAATGCAGAACATTACAGGACAGGTAAAAAAACTAGCAAATAAATAGATGAAGTTAGCAACAACACAGGTCATCGCTTTGAAAAACAAAAGGGTGCAATTTATTTCGTGAAACTACTCATAAGTGGGCGCTCAAAGACCGTTGTGACAAGGGCGATGCCCGGAGATAAATGAGGCGAATTCTCAAAACATGCACACCTTGGGGCTTAGTAAAGTTTCTAAAACTGCGCTTTCGTATACCTGACAGAGAAGCTGGGCCATTGCAGAATTGGCTCGCTGAGGAGCTGGAGTTCCTCCGAGGTACAATGGTCCAGCCCGGGCGGTCTGGTAGTGCGTGGTGCGATGGGTGAGCGCCATGGGGGCTCCGTAGCCGGTTGTCATGACGGTGTGGAGGGTCGGCGGGGTGCCCACGCGCCTCGTGAGGGGCGACGGGGGCGGGGACCAGCCGGTGGGGCCGAAACCGGGCAGGTGGGGGGGCACCGACGCGGCACTGGTGCCAACACCCGCTGGCTGGTGGGAAGCAACGGTATTCACCGATTCAAAAAGGTACGGATTCGACTGTTGTACCACACGAGATTCAAGTTCTTCTGCCAACTGTTCCGTATTTTGTTTTTCCTCCTGCCACGAAGGGAATAAAAAAATCATCTTAAACATTCAAGATCGCACAAGGAAACACATATCTTTAGAGCATTCGGTGTATTTGAGAGGCAGCAAAGGTTTCTAGTGCTGTCGAAAACGCAACATGTCTACTCAGCAATATGACAGGCAGTAGTCACCTAGAAGATACTCATATTATTAAAACATTACCGGCTGAATAAATAAACGTTCAGTTTTAAGACCACACTACGGTAACTTTACCAGAAAAGCGGCATTTGAGGACGTCATCAATACACCCAAAAGGGAGTCAATTCGTAGTGACAGTGCCTTTTACCTCCAAATATGGAAGTTTTGCATTCATTACCCTAAGAGAACGACGCACCTCTACCAATAAGCTTTAGTCACACCAACTGGCGTTTTACGGAGCTCCCGTACTTGGTCTACAGCATAAGGCCTTTCCAGCAGTGCCAAAGCGGAGACTCAGGACCGAAAACCGCTCAAATGACTTTTGCGTTACCCCCTCAGACAATATTTATGCATGCATACAAGAGCAAGCAAAATACGGACACAGCACCGCCAATTCAAAAGCCTCTACTGAAGTCAACCAGCGCCGCTCGTACCATGATGAATAAAGTAAACGGGGGACGGACGAGGCAACGGATCACCCTCATGATTATGGAGTCCCCAGTTTCGTGTTTAAGCATTCAGTGACGTAATTAAATTCTCCTTAATGTTAAATCAAACAACTATGCCAACACATTATGGCTTAATGCGAAAAAGGGAATGAAGTGTTACTAAAGAAAGCAATTTTGTGTCATATTTTAACAGTGAGTAAGCTGGATAAGTTTACATCAAACACGAAATTGGGGACCAAACAGAGATTTTTCGATGCAATTTCACACAAATATTCTTGATGTTGGCGACTATCAGGAAGACAACATGTTCTTTTAGTCGCAGAATGCTCAAATTTAAAAATAGGACAGTCTGAGACTTAACATAGACAATATTTTCCCTGTCCATAACATCTAGTTTTCCGCCTAAAATAGACACCTGTGTTTACAAATTAAGGGTTTTGTTATTTATCACAAGGTCATCTTATAACCTTTTCAAGGGTAGGGAGCTGTAAAATAGTCCTAGCAAAGACTTATTGAAAGGCACACTTCTCGGAACAACGTTGACTGGAAATGGCGCTGCGTAAAGAAGGTCTTATACCCGTGCGTGGGATGAAGGTATTACCCAAGACAATTATGCTCACTAAATCGGGGTTGATAACTGTTCTAACTGCACGTTTTCTCATTTGACCCCATTGCCATAGCTACATCACCTCAATGATCACACCATTGTGTAGTCAAGGTCGCACAAGACACATAAACTGTTCATGCTGACGTATTACCCGGCCCTTGGCTGGGACCGTAAAGCTTTCTGCACGAGGTCCCGTCTTTGTCGTGTACTTGCATTGACGAGAGATTTGTGTACCGGTTCCCTGAGGGTGTGTTTTGGGTTCTGAGAAAAGCTCAACATGCTGTGACAAGTTGATGTTGTCGTGAATGATGGTAAAATCGAAGTGCCAGCAATTATATGCCAAGTCACTGAACCATGCTATAATGGGTACGATGTCCTGGTCATTTTGATGGGCTGATTCTCGACCACATTTGACCGGTTAAATTCTGGTACAATCTGCTTTCCGTTCTTTTGAGGAGGAAATCACAGCTTGATTCTGAACAACGAGCTAGCGCAGAATTTCCCTGTCCAGATTTATTAATGAAGCAGGTAACAGGATTTCACCGACGGAAATTTATACACAGAGGACTCGGTTTCGAGACTAACCCGGTCTTATTGGTTGAGCTGGGATGTCCCAACTCGGGTGCAAGAACATGGGACCAATTAAGATGAAACGGTCAAGGGGGAATGATGATTTATAACCGTGGGGTTCCACAAAAACACCAGGGAAGACCGTTAAATCTTCAATATCAATTTGCAGGTCGGTTAGACTGAATAACATCGAAGCAACTAGGGACATTTGATGGATTTTTTTCAGAAGCCGATATCTGACCAGTAAACTAGCTTAAGACGTAGATGCGATCAGTGTAAAACTTCTCAGAAGTATGAGAAGTATCCCTACAATCATAACATAGGCGATTCCTCAGATATCCCACAACAGTACTACTGAAGTCTGTAGAACCAGGATAACGACAACGCCTTGAGGTTCAAAGATGGCGAGAAGCAGATGACCTAACACAAAGGGACTTACTGCAGCCAAATTATTTAGACATTGGTAGTTGTGATAGGTCTGAGAAAATTGAGTTCAGTTGCTCATCCTGATTTGCATCTGACGATTAGTTTCATGCTTCGAAATAATTTTACATGCTCAAACACTAAAGGGAAAATTAGCGACAGCAAAATAGCCTAACTCAACACAAACTTCTGACGTTATTTGAGAGTACGTTCTACCACCCCCTTACTGTATACATTAGAGGTTTTAAAAAACTCCGATAAAACCATTTACCACGAATGTGAATGTGCGTCGATGAACTGCAGAAAATAGCGCAGCACATCTTGATTAAGCAAAGGCATTAAACTTAGACAAGAGTTAGCAATTTTACCTGAATCAATTTAATCTCATTGTTGATGGCATCAAGTTGGTCCTGTATAAGCATTGCGAGAGCCTGAGCGTCGCTGGCGTTGTGAGCGTTGGAGGATGACTTGCCATTGGGAGAAAGTGAGGTCGGGGCTGCAGCCGATGGGCTGATGGCAGTAGTTGAATCACTTTTACCCTAAAACCGGAAGAAAATAGCTGGCGAAGCTGTAAATGCATTGACCCTCGGTCAATTTAAGCCAGGGAGCACGATTTTGTAGCAACGAGTTGTGGATGTTAGTGCGTTTATGACCATGCTCAAAGTCTACAGATAATTTAAGAAGCAATTTGCAAAAGAGGCTTCCCACGTCCCCGTTCTCTAAGCGTTCAAGTCCACGCCAGTGCCTTTGTGTCACACACATTTGTTGATAAGCCATCTCTAGACCACTGAGCACGACGCAGACTGGTCCGATCTAAGACTCGTGTGTTGTTTCGCTTACATGTTGATGGCTTAATGCTAGCCACTAAGCTTCTAATGACGGCCTGATAAGAAACAGACTTAGACACTTTATTCGCATATTATGTAAGGCGAGTTCAACCGGGAAAATCTACCAACTAAGACTATTGAAGACTGAGCGACGCCGCGATTACAGAATATGGTGCTCTCATGTATAGCACTCAGGCTATTGATGAGGGTTGCCGTGTTATTAAACGATTTTGTGACCTTCAAGGTAGCATGAATCCCTTTTGGAGTGGCTAAGCTCACGTACACAAAAACCAAAACGCCTCACATCAAAATAATTAAGAATTGGGCCACTATTTTTGGTTCCCTCAATGCTTATCCGTGATCCTGTTTAGATTGTGGCTAGACAGCTAGTATAAGAGCACATGTCCTGAAGGAGCATTTAGTAAGCCAGGCTGGTGTTTTGCCTTAAAGCTGCAGACATTCCTGCAAAACTTGGCAATTATGAAGTCTGCTGTGAATGAATTTGTGCTCATCGACAAGACAGAGTGCTGTACAGCCTAAAATCAATTAATACACACCGTGGTCATAATTTTGTTGACCCTAAAGTCTAAATGGGGAAATTCCGTCAGCGGACTAAGAAAAATATAAAGTAATTGCTGGATCTTTAGATTGTCAAAACTCCTTCTCTCAAAGGGGTTGAAATTATAAGCTAAAAGCCAGCCTCGTGTGATATTATTAATAGAATGAAATTAAGGACCATGCGTGAAAGAAACCAAGGAAACCCCAGGAGACTTCATCAGTCGCCCGCCTTGGTAAGGAAATCGTGACGCGTTGTCCGTTACGCAGGTGACTCGTTCTATTTGGTCTCGCCGGTCTGCTCGTGCAACTATGCCGCCTTGCTTTTGTCGAGCCCTCGTTGCTCACCCACACCATTCACGTCTGCCGAAGAGGCCACACTGCAAAGTCTTGTGGCTGGTTTAGGTCGGACTTAATGAACCCCAGGTGAGATTTTAAGTCATTTATAAAAAAATAGGCATTTAGGTTCCTCAAAAGAAGTCCTGGTTGTCTAGAAAATGCTCTGTTGTTATCTTCAGCATCTAGACCGCTAAATGTAGTGTGGTGTGCAGCTCCTGGCTATCTGCGGTTGGCCTTGTTTGCTGAAAAGTCAACTTTAATGAGGATTCACAGCCGTCGTAAAGGCTTCGTGGTAGGATAACAGTTGTGCTATTTTAATCTCAGATTAACGGATTACAGGTGACATCCTTCCTTCATTACATTTACCATTGCGCCATGGAGGTGATTACATTTACTGAAAATGATATCAATTTTGTGCTTCATTGGGAATCAGGCATATGAATTGCTACACTTATGTAGATGGTAGATGTTAGATTTGTACAATATAGTAAGAGTTGGGGTGGTTTGATGCACTGAAAGTTAATAAACATTTTTGAAACTTGGCAGACTTAATGACTTTCAAGCTCTCCAATTCACAGAATCCCACAACTCTTGAATAGTGTTTATATTTATATTATAGCCCCATTTCAAAACTGCATGCACGTTTGGTGACTCAGATTTGATCTTGGGAAATAGCTTGCCACCAACCGTTTCTGACGTCAAGGTTAAAGTTAGGAACATGTTCGAGCAGTCGTCGTTCAAGCCCAAATTGACAGAGAAAAGGGCACTCAGAATTAGGTCTAATCTGCGCAATTCTTGAGAGATGATTTGGTCAAAGGCGACTGTCACCTATTTGAGTGAAATGTGAAACAGACTCGAAGTCTGAACAGGTAATCTAGAACAATGGAGAGAAGTCTTAAAATGACTGCGTTAAATCAAATCTATAAGTCTCTTAGAAAATATCAGTTTGCCGTAATTATCTTGAATACTAAGTAGTTGGTAGGATCAGTGCATAAAAAATCACAACTAATACAAAGCAGGCATTCGACAGACCAGCTTTTAGTGGCTAAGTGATCCTGTCCTGTAACGCTCAAGCAGAGGTTGGCAAAGCGTTTAGAAGTCGCGAGTAAAGATACCCATTATACCAAACCATGCTTATAAAAGAAGCCAAACTCACAGCTTCGGTTTTCGACGTGTTGCGGCCTAGTGAACCACTGGCGAATCCGGCAAACCCCTCGTCTAAAATTAGGAGAAACAAAATTAACACACAAAACTGGACGTGGACAGCTTGAGAAGAATAATATGCTGTGAGGCCTAATAGATAGAGTTATTAAATCTAAAAGCATCTGATCAATTTAATCACTCATTTTCAACGACGAAGTTCTTTGCACAACAGGTAATCGGCGGTGTCTGTCATACGCCGCAGTTCACAGCGCAATTGGTTGGCGAACTGACGGACGATGGTGATGGATGCCCATCGCCCTCACTTTCCCGATGCTTCTTCGGAGTTCTTTTAAATTCACCGACTGCGCAACACATTGCGATGAAACCGCTTAGCGGTCATCGTTACTTGAAAGTGTTCAAGATGATTTGTCCACTTTGGCAACTACATCTACGCTCAGGTTAACACCAAGTTATCGGCACCACCATGTCAACACCACTGCTTTTTGACACTTCAATTAACCCAATTAAAGCAAAGATCATGAAGAAATCCTTCGTTGATAAGGGTTGTTGCATCAAAAATTTTGGTTAACTAAAGCAAGTACACAAAAAGAGCCAGGAAAATCAGGCAAACTGTGCGAGAGATCCATAAAACCAGTGAGTTGTCTCGAAAATAGGTTAGCAAAATTAGTTTGTGGTTAAGTTTACTTGGAAGCGAAGTACAACGTGCAGAAGACCTAAAACAGCCTCACCTCAGAGAAGAGGTTAAAGTGATTTGCGGTTGAAATCATCTCCAAGAGATGTCAAATAAACGGTGCAGATGTGCAGTTTCGCCTAGATCATGAACGAGGCAATCGTATATTCGCGCAAAGATCCAATGAATTAGAGGTTTAATGTCTGTGACTTGTTGCATGAGCTCAAAAATCTAGGGAAACGCGAAATTGAAGACAGCATAGTGTTACACTGACTAAAGATTAATCTGCCACACATTTGTACAGACAATTGTAAGTTGGATTTGAGGGTACACATCCTACGAACGCACTACCTACCACTAAATTAGCATAAGTTAGTAAGACATGACACGCATGACACTGAATGCGACGTCGATTTAGAAAGCGATTTCCACCATCGTTAGCACATATTAACTCAAGGTGGCTAATAGTTTTAGCTACACAATGGTTGAGTATGTCAGGGCAAGATGCCAATGAGAGAGAGCGCGCGGTTCGTGGCTTTGTCGCTGTTGATTGGAAAAAGTATATTTGCCCAAAGAAATTTACTTCGGCGTTTTGCACGCTGCGGTGAGGCATTTTTGGGCCAATGGAGAGCAACCACAGACGCCACATTCGTGACGCATGTTACCAAAGTTCTCCACAACTGAAAATGTACCGAGAGCAAAGGAATCCTGGCTTTCCGATTTACAGGAAAAACTTGCTTGTTCGATCGCCTTAAATGTGGGTTTACTAAAGTTATCTGAAACTCAAATGTTGGGCAAGGACAAGACGAGTGTTTCACTTGAAGTGATACGGTTCCTGAGTCATTGATCGACTAGACCACAAAGCCGGTTCACTTTTAAGTAACAAGCATTTGGTAATTGAGCGTCAACGATGTTATAAATTGCTATTCATCCCACTGATAGTCAAGAAAAGGTATTTTTAGGTTCACATTAAAATCGCAACTTTGTAGTTGGTGTCGATGACTTGGCATTATCAAATCTTCGGGGAGAATTTCAGACATTTTGGTTATCCATCTAGCATAACTTAGACGATGCTACTTAGCAAGGTGATTTTACGATGCTGGAACGTTAGATTGTCCCATGTTAACCTTAAGGACTGGCCACTGAACGGGCGTCCTTAAAAAAGTGCCAACATTTCTGTCACGGGTGAATCAGCAGGGCATGTACAACGCCCGTCGACAGGACGGTCATACAGTTCAGACCACAGACTCAGGACATCATCATGATACGTCAGCGGTAATAAACTGCACTGTTGCGTAGCCTTGGCGCTGCTATCCGTCCAAACGCACCGGGTGCGTTACAGCCAATCGATGCAGGCACGTCAGATGGATGATTGCGCGTGCGCGTGCACGTGGCGCGCGCGCGCGTGTGTTGTGTGCGCATGATGCACGCACGTGCTCGCTAGCCGGTGTGTTGTGCGAAAAAACGCGGCTCGGCGGCACACGCTTCGGCCCGCTTCTCGGACAGACAAGAGAGGGCCAGTGACGACCGTCAAACGTGCATTCGCGCTTCATCGGTCTACCTGATGAATGGAAGCGATGTCGCGTGTGGACGTGAATTACTCCATCTAGCCTCAAGAGGAAATGCGTCCATCCTAGAAACACTGGGTGTGGTTACGAGTTGAAAATTTTATTACCAGTTTTTAGATAAAATGGCACTGGGAATTCCAAAGGACAGACTATACAAGTGGATGCTTGCACCGTCATTTTGAAGTCAGAAAGTTTAGAGCAGAATCACCACGTTTTGTGGGGGAAAACGATTGACACTATAACCTGTTTAGGCAAGTCTCCTGTCTTTTTTAATTGGAATAGCCCCACTTCTTAGTTGCCGTTTCTCAGGGTGGCTTCCGAGCGTCGTACAAAATAACGAATGTTTGGTTCTATGACTAAGACGCCCCAAAAACTGAGGTTGATATATTTCTTACCAATTTGGAAAGTAACTGAATTAAAATAATCAAAGCACCGGGCAAAAATATGGCAATTTTGCTCCATCCCAAACCATCCCGTTTTGTTATCACATGTGCAAACTTAGCCAAACCATTAAGGGCTATGACAGTTCTAGTAAAGTCAATTTTATTGAGTCCATAGAGGAACTATACAGCATTTTGTAATCGGCCCGTAGAGCACTTGTTTTCAGAATGTGATTTCAAGAAATATTATGTGGACACCGGGGTTGATCGGACATCTCCCGAGTGTGGCTGAAGCCATCGCATGTGGCTTGCATCGACAGCATCTTGGTAGGTCGATAGCGCTGACAAAGCCCTTGCTTACATTTCAAGGGACCCCAGTTGCTGGGTGCAGATTTCACTTTTCTGGTTTGTTTTTAATCAGCTGCGAGGTCGATTATTCGTGTGAACTTTCAAGTTCCCAATGGGGAATAATCGTAACTTGAAAGGGATAAATGATTGGGCAAGTGGTAAGGTACCAAAGAAAGGAGACAAAATCAAAAAGCCAATTTTCGAGAGTCCAATATAAGATGACGCAAGGTGGATGAGGCTCCATTAAACTTGACATGACAAGCACGTCCAATTGTGGGTGAACTTCACCTCGGTAGGACGATCGTTTCGTTTAATGGACTTCGGACATGCTATTGCCAATACTGTTTTTGCTTTACTCGCAGATAATAAGACAGCGTGTCGTTTCACTGGCTCATCCTATTCAGGGATCGGATTCATATCCCACGAAGGAATTTTCAGGGTTGGGGTAATCAGTTTGGCTCCTCAACCACAACAGACATGCTTTCTTGTGACCGCCGATGTGAAATGAATTGGTCCAATTACTGCTACTTTATGTCGACTCTGATGGCTTTCTCATGTCTTCGAATGGAACAAGGTCAAGCATTTTGGCCAGTGTAGGTGCATTTGGTGCAGGTTGACAAAACATTCTGCGCTGGTTTCTATTTCCTTTTTAGAGCGTGACCTGAAAGTCGACATCAATAAGGGCCACTAACACAAACCTCATTAATTTCGGAAAGCAGACTTCTGGATTAAAGGAATGCAAAGCTACGGTAAAATTTACTCAACCGGAAAGTAAAATTCCAGTAGACTAGAGGGTAGGGATTTTGTCCGTGTGAATTTAAACTAGGACGAACACAGGACCCGCTAATTGTAGCGTCCTCGCATTTGTGGAAAGCGCAATCACTTCCTTAGTGGAGACAGAGAAAATAGGCGGAGGGATTTTCTATGCAAGCTAGTCAGCTGACCGACTTTGTCACCACAATCAAGAACATTCAGGTATGAAGCCATTTTCCTGGTTGAAATTTTGGTCAATTCAGCTGTTTATATTAAGTTCTAAAAAAATTATGCGCAACCAAAAGGAAGTGAGAGCTTTAGAACAGGTTTTTAATGAATGATATATACTTGGATAACAATCCATCTTACTAGTGAAATTATAATTTTTTTTACAAATTGTCACTTGTGTATGAATGTGGCTCATGCTGTCGGATGAAACAGGATCTTATTGCCCTAATAGGTGCTTGACCAAAACTGCGTACGAAATCATACCCCTTACTGTGTGTGTGCAAACCAATTACGACGGACAGTAGGTCGTGTTTACTTGGCAATAAATGCAACCCGCTGGTCGACGGTGGCAGCAGAAAGGTGCGACTGACGGTAGGTGTGGAATTCAGCCTCAGAAACCGATGTGCAACGAGGCTTTGCCGCATTATCGCGCATTCAGATAACATGGTCGTCTCATAATTGCACTAGCTCATTACATGTTATAATGTATGCTCCACTTTGGAAAAAAACAACACACGAGGCACCTCTATTGAATCAGCGGAAAAAAGGATGTGTGTAACCGGTTTCAATGAGCCCAGAGATCGATATGGGAGTTACCACTGTACCTCAAAAGGGTTTTGATGCTTAAAAGTCCTTCTGAGCTTAAACTCGCCCCAAATAAGAATGTGATGACTTTCTTGAAATTGAAGAACCTGAATAGTGCCAATTTGTGAGTCATACCGGTGAAGATGGCCATTAACCGTCGACAGAGGAACCGAAATGTGCCAGTGACTCGCTATATTTCGGCTTGAAGTAAAGGCTTCTAAACAACTTCTGAAAACCGCCATTCATTCCTAGGCTCAGCTCCCCTGATAACAGCCATTGGTAGAAGAAGGAGCAGTGATGGCCTGATGCAACTAACACAAAAGCCGCTTTGAAGCGTGTGTACAATCCTTCAGAACTTTCGCGTCTGACTTCAATTTGGACATCAGTTTATTATTCTGAGTTACGTGGACAACGGAAGTTCCAAGTTTCAAAATTTTTAAATTTCGCCACTAAGAACACGAGCGCAAATCAGCACAATAAATGAAACCTTAGTTCAAAGTTACAAGCGGGGATTAGGGTCCGGATTCAACATGTTGACAGACAATATAGAAGTGTGAAACGACACTTGGATGCAAAATTCAAGTTTCTCCAAAAGATGCAGCAGATTTCAATGCATATCAATAAAATTCGCTCACTACTGCCGTTCAGCATGGAACTCGTCTTAACCTGGGTTTAAATTGGCATCTTGCACAGCGGAACGACGTGCCACAAGTACCATTTAAAACTCCGGTTATTAGCTAAACCGTTCGCTGCGGACCCTCCAATAGTTGGAACCTTCACCATTTGGAGACTTGAGATGCTTTAACCTCAAATTAGGAATGGAATAAAAAGCAAAGCGCGATGCATTAGCCAAAGTGACCGCATACACCAACGGGTGCATTTAGAATCAGTGTGAGAGCCAGCACAAACACGATTAGAAAAAGGGCAATGTAACAACCGCTGGTACGAACATTTCGAAGGAATGATCGCAGATCCACCGAAAACATTCTTTTGTCGCCAATTTAGTCGACTAAGGGTTTCGTCGTGGGTTGAAAGACAAAGGCTTGCTGGTCGGCGCAATACAAACGCGCGTTGTCGCCGGACAAGATCACGCATTGGCAGAACTGCTGTAATGTATATGGATATGCATATTTGAGGCCTTATCAAATTACTTAGCCTCTGTAAGCAAAAATTTTGCTTTTGGTTTCCGTGGAAATAGAGGAATATAAGAGAGAATAGGCAAAGAAGCAAAATAGGAGTGGACTTGTACATTTTTAGAAACTTAACTAACAAACACACAAAACCACCTGACCAAAGGACTGAATTCTAGAAAGCGTTTGGGCTTGACGAGACTAGGAGTTGCTCTACCAACGAGATGTAGAGACTAATTCGATGGTGAAAATTACTGGGCCAAGCAAACGCCAAGGACTGGGTTACTTGATCAGCATTTTGGCAAATTAACCAGGCCCTTGTTAGAACGTTCTGTTATCGCTGTGTCCAAGGCTACTAGCTCCATCATGTCGTCTCAAACTGTACCTCGATGAACAGTAAAGATGATATGGCTTTGAACCATGAATTGTTTCATTGACTAATGGCATTACCCGTTAACGATTTCCTTTGTCCAAGCGCTTATCTCTGTTCTAGTGAATTTTAGGGCCTTTGATTGTCTTGGTTCACAACTCGACAATTTACCAACAAATATTTTCTTAAATCGGTTAAAACGACGCGAAATTACCCGGTTGGCAAAAAACCATAAATCCTCTTTCCCACCCTGTGGGTGATTGCAAACCTTGCACGATGCGGTGCTGAATTTGGCGTGAAAGCGCTTTTTGAAACAAGGAAAAAGTCTTTAACCAACGAAACGAGGAGCTTTCGCTATACATAGAAAGATGAAATAACGGGTGTGCACAGTCTGACTCATCAATTTCTCGGCATCGTACTAGTCGTTGTACAGCACAAATTTCCCTATTCTCCCCTCTATCCCTTTCAAAAATCCACACGTGACAAACGCAACCAAGTAGCACATTACTTTTGTATCACATCATATGCGTGCACGCAGACTATTGGGACAAAAGCAAATAGCGCAGTTTTTCTCAAAATCACCCTGATGTAATTAAAGGAGGCGATTGGGCAGAGAGTGGCAGTAAAGTGCACTTTTGGCAACCGGGTACTTACGAGTCCAGCCGGTTCAATAGCGCATTCACGCAAGAACGAAGCAAATCACCAATTATAATCTCCATTGCCAACCGATTAGTTGTTCGTGTGGCTACCACGATGAAACATCTAATTGGCAAAGAGCGTCGACAAATGAATGCCGAAGGTCGGTAACAGACTAAAGTGGTTGCGAGGTGACGACAAAATCGCGTGCTGTGTTAGAACCATGGCGGATTTGGCCTAATGGTGTTGTCGTGACAACTACCGGGCCTCTTCCCACATGCCTATTTTCGGCGCGTCTCAAAGGATCTAGTAAACAGCTGGGGCCCTTCTTCATGCACTGAGTCATGGACACTTAAAGCCGGAAGGGAATAGATAAATACTCACTATTGAGGCCAGGAAAGTCAAGAGATTCCGCGAGAGAAGCTTGCCTTCGAAGTCTGTCAAGTTCATTAAGTAGACGGTCGCGTTCTGACTGAATTGACTCCATCTGCCGTCGAACGCGATCCAGTTCGGCAGTTAGTTGATTTTTCTCTTCCATTACCGCCATCTTCTCTCGAAGATGAGTTTGGAGTCGCTCGTTCGACTCCAGTAAAAGCTTGTCAACCTAAATAGAAAACAAAGAACTGTAATGTATGCGATGACGTAAACATAGAGCCCTGACGAAAAAATCTATAAAGAAAAATAAAAAAATCTGCTAATGGTCTTCTTGACGGTTAATGTAATTGATACCAAGAATGGAGAATCGGGAATTGCAAATATTGTAAAATACACCTAAACAACAATTTCGTGAAATAAGTCAGGGCGTTGTATACCTCCAATGGACCTAGATGTCCATTGGCCGTCAGTTTTTTTAAGAATGCGGCTTGCGCAAGAAACGAAATTCGCGTTGGCATCTGAGTTTCCTTCGCAGTACGCCATTTTCCAAAGCAAAATAAGTGATAAAGTAGCTACACGATCAGCACTTTGAGTAGGAAATCAGAGTTAACGCACCGGAGCTGATTAGTGCCCAACGCTTTTAAAAACACCTCATTTGAGTGGGTTATTTAGCTAGTCCGCAACGGCTCATCACAAAGTTTGTAGCACAAACAACAGAAAGTAGTACATATTCGAATTAAAAACAGGTCCCACTGATCTCAAAATGCATCTACGCAAACAATCCAATGTTCAAATACTCTTTGGCACCAATGAAAAATCGTGGACTTTATTTTCGAGTATACACGTCACATCCCACCGATAATGTGGGTCCAGACGCAACTATGATGCCAATTAAAACTGGTACTGACTAATCGGTGCTGACACTTCGCTCAAACTCCAGGGAAGGCTTATACAAAAAAACTTTAGTAGACGCAAACTATTAGTGTTTATCGCCTTCTTATAATCGGATGAGAAAGGATTCGAATTAACTATCAGATTCGGATTAGGGCAGACCAATAAGAAAGCGAAGCTGAAAGAATTGATGATTGGGAATTACTTTCGACACGAGTTGGCCACTTTTCCTTCATAAATAGGGAAGTATAGTAGCGCCAATGCGCGCAAACTCGGGTTGTGCATTTAAAAACTTAACATTGAAAGCTACACGGTTATGGTTGAATGTTGTTGTGGTCTCCAGAGACTTGACGATGGCTTACTGCTGTCTCCTTAAGGCCACAAATGCATTAGCTCGGAAATTAAGACATGACATACCAGAGCATTATGCCCCAAAATGTATTTTAGGATCCTGCAATCTTTTGCTGTAGCACTTTCTCAGAGTGCAAGACTTGCATAATTTCTCATTACAATCACAAGCCTTTTGTTTTAGTTACTTGTCTATGAGGCCTCAAACTGCTCTATGGTGTTTCTGAACAGAGTGAAAACAGCGCATCTCGACATACGTACCTTGAACACGAGTTTCTACCTAATAGTGACAATTTTGACATTTATCCTACTTTAACCATTCATCGGTTAGAGAAATTTTCCAGGAATTAAGAAATCACAAGGTGGTTCATGTTTTGAAAATAACGAGAGGATCGACAGCTTAGTGAGTACATTTGATGTTCAGCGGATGCATTTACAGGCGCACTCACGAAAATATTCATACATGCATGACTTAATTTAGTTCTAATCCCTGAAACATTAGGAGGACGTCACAACTTTAAAAAAACACTGACAATGAGATTAGCGGCCGCCATTTTATTGAACTGCTGT